AGCGACATCATCAACTTATCTGAAGCAGGACCTAAGGGGGAGCTCTATATGATTTCCTTTATCGAGGCTTCTACTCCATATGTTTGGACGACCAACATTCCTGCTCGCCATGTGGCTCACTCTATCTTCGTCGCATGGCTCGCGGTGGCTGAGAGAGAATCGAAAGAAAAGCTTCAAGAATTTCAGAGTGACGGCGCAGGGGAGTATACGAACACCACCTTCACTGAGTATCTTCAAGCCCTAGGCATCAAACGCCGAGGGTCTCTGCCACATCAACACCAACAGATGGGGGTAGCGGAGCAGATGAACATAACGTTACAAGAGAAGATGAGGGTCTTGTTGACACAGGCAGCACTACCACCGCATTTTTGGACTTACGCTTTGGACCATGCAGTTCTCCATCACAACTTGCTGTCGACATAATCTCTTTCACATTTTTCTTCGCCACACCTGCAGTGGACAAAAACAGTCGGCAACACAAAAATTTTAAGAGTTTTTTTGTGTATCGTCCAATACCGACCTCCGACCGCAGCAATCGGAAATTTTTCGGAGCGTGCTAAGTGGGGCATTCATATTGGCATCGAGAAGCTGTTGCACGCATGGAAAATTATGGATCTTCACACGAGTCAAATCGTACCAGCACGTGATTGTCTTTTCTATGAATGACTCACCTTACCTGTTTTTTAATGCTCACCAGGTAGCAACTGCAAATCCTACCAAGCTGTTCGAAGGCTCGCGTGCTTTCGCTACCGACGAAGCTGAAGCAGATGTACAGGATGGGTCAGTTGCCGAATCTTCCGAAGCAGCCACAGACATTCCCGTACCAACCACGTTAGCTAGAACTGCCGAGTTTATTCCCCTCAGCGAAGCAGACTCTGAAAATGCCCGAGATGTGGTTCTTGATTACGAACGTGATCGCCAGCAGCAGCCAATGCCGGTTTTCTCCGAACTAGCTATCCGTGTGACACATGAAGAACTTGGGGGGGAACAGGGGTCAGAACACAACTTCTCCAATGTCAACTCAAATTGTCCTCGTTTTACAGAAACTGGATTACAGGTATTGGGACTCGCGGTCGTAGTACAGTCAAACAGCAGTAAGTTTCTGTAGCCGAAAACAGTTCGCCAAGCTTTGACAAGTCAACACAACGAAAAATGGCGAGAAGCCATGGACCGGGAGTTAACAGCTCTGGAAAAGAGAGGTACTTGGGATCTAATCCAACTGAAGGAAACAAAGGAGAGTAAGGCACTTACCGGTAAATGGGTTTTTCGCGTGAAGACAAACGCCGATGGTTCCTTTGAAAAAAACAAGGCGTGATGGGTCGTCTGCGACTTCAAGCAAACTTTTGGACTCAACTACGAGCTCACTTTTGCTCCTATCGGTAGACACATTAGTGTCCGCATCCTCCTCTGCATCGCGGCCTGCCGGAACTTCAGACTTCACCAAATCTACGTCGCCAATGCATTTCTTTATGCACTTGTCGATGCATTAATTTTGGTAGATCACCCGCATTCTAACGAAACTAACCCTCCCCGCGTCTGCTGTCTCAGAAAATCTCTCTACGGCATTAAACAGGCTCCACGACTATGGAAGCAGTATCTATACAGTCAGTTAATAAATGCCGGGTTTCGTCAACTTCCTCACGACCAAGGAATGTATCTACTTACCGATGATCTTGACTACATCATGCTCGTCGCCTATGTCGACAATTTACTTAAATCAGCACGACTGATTCTCTCGCTACTGCCTTCGAACAGAAACCTCAACAGTCACACAGTTTCTTGGCCTCAACATTCACCGCATGCCCACTAGTATTCATCTTACAGCTTCCAAATACGTCGCTACACTAGCCGCACGCTTTAACCTCACACCTTCAACTGTAACTACACCTTACCGATCTCTACCGACGGACTACAAATCCGATACCACCCCACTCGAAAACAGTGAACTACAGATTTATCAGCAGCAGCTGGGTTGTCTTCTATTAGCAGCTGTAACGTGTCCTCCGGATCTCGCCTATGCCGCTAGCCAGCTCGCGCAATTTTTGCGGCGACCTGAGGGGGAGAATCGGCTAGATCTTCTTCGCGCTCTACAGTATTTCGTTTCGACACCTGAAGTCGGACTTACCTTGTCTGAGGCCGCTCCCCATCTCTGTTGCATGCTACTAGTCCATGAGGGTGACCCAGACGCCCTCGACATCTCGACCCCTCGCACCTACGATGAGGCCACCTCAGGACCCTGGGCCTCTCAGTGGATAGCTGCCATGGATCAGAAGCTGTCATCTTGGAGATCCACCGGTACCTTCGTCGACGCAATTCCCCCACCTAGGGTGAACGTAGTCGATGGCCGGTGGCTCTTCAAGGTGAAGCGCCCTTCTGGAGAGCCGCCTGTGTTCAAGGCGCACTACGTTGCTCAAGGCTTCTGTCAGCGTGAGGGGGTGGACTTCTTTCAGACCTTCGCCCCGACCCCGAAGATGACCACTCTTCGGGCGCTGCTACACGTAGAAGAACACCGTGACTACAAGCTGCACTCCCTCGACTTCTCCTCAGCTTTCCTCCAGAGCCATCTACACGAGCAGGTCTACCTGCGCCGCCCCCAGGGCTTCTCTGGTACCTTCCCCCTTGGCACCGAGTGGCTCCTCCGGCGCCCCGTCTACGGCTTGCGACAGGCGCCCCGTGAGTGGCACGACACGCTGCATGCTATACTTGCTGACTTGCAATTCTTCTCTTCGTCTGCAGACCCCTCGCTCTTTGTCCGTTCCGGCCAGAATCCGTTCTACATCCTTGTCTACGTAGATGATCTGGTCTTTGCTACTACAGACAGAAACGCACTGGCCGTCGTGAAGGCCGGGTTGCTGAGGAGACACACCTGCACTGACCTAGGAGAGCTGCGCCGCTACCTTGGCTTGCAGATCTCTAGGGTCAGAGCAGCGTGCACCATCACTCTCTCACAGTCACACTTGGTGCGCCAGGTCCTTCAGAGCTTCGGCCTTCAGTTCTCTTCCGCACAGCCCACCCCTCTGTCAGTAGACCACAGACTCTCTGCCCAAGTACAAGAGGAGGCTGTAGAGCCTAGTGGTCCCTACGCACAGCTGGTGGGTTGCCTCATGTACCTGATGACTTGCACTCGTCCTGATCTCGCATACCCTCTCAGCATCCTGGCTCGCTTTGTGGCCCCATGCAGACACCGACCACAGCACTGGTCGGCAGCTAAGAGGGTTTTGCGTTATCTAGCAAGTACATCGGGCATGGGGCTAGTGCTAGGAGGATGAAGACCAGTGGTTCTTACCAGGCACACAGACGCTTCTTGGGCAGACGACGCCGAGACTCTCAGGTCCTCACAGGGCTACTCCTTTAGCCTTGGTGCAGGGGCCATCTCGTGGAGGTCCACTCGTTCCTCGTCTATTGCCCAGTCTAGCTGTGAGGCTGAGATCTACGCTAGCGCCATGGCGGCACAGGAGCTCCGCTGGCTGACCTTCCTGCTCACCGACTTGGATGAGCGGCCTAGCTCTGCCCCGGTCTTGTACGCTGACAACAGGGCCATGATCCTCCTGTGTCAGGAGCCTCGACTTGAGGGCAGAGCGAAGCACATCCAGCTACGGTACTTCCTCCTGCGCGAGCTGCAGCAGCGTCGCCAGGCTCGTGTAGTACACTTGGCCTCAAGTGCCAACACAGCTGATATCTTTACGAAGGCGCTTGCGCCTTAAGATCATCAGCAGCACTGTGTACAGCTAGGTCTCGTTCCTGTAGCCTCACACTTGCTAGGCCCTTGATAGTGTACCGAACTTTCATTTATAGTACCCTGACTGGCCTTGTGGCCTCTTCCCAGTGGCTGGACTAGTAGTGCCACCCTAAGGTGTTTCTCTTTCATCGGGCACTGCCCCTTTGTCGTGGCACTGGGATAACCCTGTTGATCCTCTCTCTCTGTCTAGGAAGCGTACTAGGGAGGCTTTCCCTGGGGAAGGTGGATATATGGAGCCTAACCCTCCTGATGACGTCCCTTCTTGTCTCAGTGGTTAGGACTGGTGACTTCATGACTTGGTATCAGAGCCATCCAGGGTTCAATTCCTGGTGTACACGCTATCCCAGCGGGGGGGTGTGTCGTGGCACTGGGATAACCCTAATGATCCTCACTCTCTATCTAGGGAGGGTACTAGGGAGGCTCTCCCCGGGGAAGGTGGATACATGGAGCCTAACCCTCCTGATGGCATCCCTTGTCTCAGTGGTTAGGACTGGTGACTTCATGACTCTCTTATCTAGTCTAGGCGGTGTGTCAAACATATATTGTATGTTTATGTAAACTATATAGGGTTGTGCCTTAGGGAGTACAACCCATTAGGTTATATTCCCTTGTATGCCTTGTTCTAGACATTGTTTCACTTGAATACAGACCAGATGAATCAGATGGAAGGAAAAAAATCAGATGAAAGGAAAAAAACAGGTCTGATTTTCACAACATCAGACCGAGTGATATCTGACCCTGACCAGATTGTCTACGTAAACAAGGATGTAGAACGGAGTCTGGCGGAACGGACGAAGAGCGAGGGGTCTGCAGTTCCCCTCGAACCGACTGTCGGTCAACGGTCAACGACCGTCGCATTTCGCGCATCGCGACCTAGGCTTGGACTCGACAAGGGTTACAGCTCAAGTGTCACTTTCAGGAATGCAACAATTTCCTCATCGTATCACACAGCTGTTGGAAATATCTCAAGGACTTAAGCGTTTCTGAAGTGTAACATCACACTCGAGGAAGATCGTAACGAGTACGCGAGTCAACGGAGGTTACACGAGGGGATGGACAAACAACACGAAAGGACTCGAAGGGTCGCAACCGGAGGTTGCGACTGACCGTTACAACTGCAAGAATGGTAACCGAAGCGACAATCGAGTCGCTGTGCGACTCGATAAACCGCCATTCAACTGTATTCTACAACTGCTTGTTTTCTACTTTCTATATATTGCTGTATGCTTGTTTACTTTAATCAATCACTTGTTCTCATATACTAGTACAAGGGTTCAACTACTCAACTTCCGCTGCACTACTCAAGTCTCATTCTTCAACTGGGACTTAGTCTCTGGAAAGATCCTAAGGGCTTTTATCAGCCCAACAACAGCAATGCCACATCACATGTCCTTTACCGCTACACCCCACCCCAGCGGCCGCACATGGCAGCCAGGGCACAAGGGGAGAAGCTGTGAAGCCACCTCATGAGCAAGCTAAGGCATAAGCAAATCAAGCACGCAACCATAGCCACGTGCTAAATAAACCACAGAAGGCATTGGTCCAGAGGAATGCATCCAATCCACCCCAATCCATTTAATTGTATGCAATGCAATGCATACCGGTACAATTAGTCAGCTTTGCAGCAGTGATGCGGCTCTAGAGCGGCCCCCGGTCACTGGTTAGGGGATCTCCTGTCATCGTCATCCACTGAAGCAAACCCACAACACAATCAATCGCTCTCCTCATCATCGTCATCTTCCCTCTGCCTCCTCAGCCTCCCCTCCCTGCCACCCAGCCGCACTGAACGAAACTCGCCATCAGCATCACCATCCGCACCACCATCCGCACCACCATCCGAACCACCATCCGCACCACCACCACCATCAGCACCTGCAGCAGCAGGGTTGCCAGCGCCAAACCCGCCTCCACTGGCCTCCCTAGGAGACCCCATCCCCACAGGGGACTGGGAAGCTGCTGCTCCCACTGCATCAGCTCTTGCTGCTGTTGCTCCTCCTCTTCCTCCTGCCGCCAGGCCAGCACCATTCCGCTTTGACCCCTCACCTCCCATACCACCACCACCTCCCAGCTCCCCATCCACTCCTGCGGCACCACGTGCCCGCCTCCCAGTGGTCAGACCACTACCACCAGCAGCAGCAGTCTCTGGTGCCAGCCCACGCGGGCTGGCATCGCGAGGGCTGGGCTTGTCGGCGGCAGAGCGGCGGCGGGGGGGAGAGCGAGAGAGGCTGGGGGAGCGCGCGCGGGTGGTGGTGGTGGTGCGCGTGCGCGGGGGCGTGTAGCTGCGGCTGCGACTGCGACTCCTGCTGTAGGAATTGCTGCGACTGGAGGGAGAGCGATACCTGGGGGGGGAGGAGGGGGGAAAAGGGGGGAGAGGGGGAAAGGGGGGGAGAGGGGGGAAGGGGGGAGAGAGGGGGGAAGGGGGGGGAGAGAGAGGAAAGGGGGGGAGAGGGGGGAAGGGGGGGAAGAGGGGGAAGGGGGGAAGAGGGGGGAAGGGGAGGGGGAGAGGGGAAGTATGGAGAGATTGCGCAGTGGAAAAGGGATGGCAGTGGAACGGTTGGCGTGATGGCGGAGTGATGAGGGCATGATGAAGCATGAGCGCTCCGATACGAGGGGGAACAAATGGATCCAGAAAGCCGCTTATTCCCAGTGATCCGGGTTTCACTGGGACAATCATGCAACCAGGACACGTATGTACGTCCGGTGATCCGATCCAATGAGTGCGAGTGAGACGCTCAAGTGAGACGCTCGAGTAAGACGCTCGAGTGAGGCGCTCGAGTGAGGCGCTCAGAGCAGCAGAGCGATCAGCAACAGACCTCCCCGATTCAACCCATCAACCCCTACCTACCACTACGTCTGTATCTCTCACCTCCCCCGTCCCCTCCCCCTCCTTCTGGGCGGGCTTCTCGACCAATCAGGGCTGCGCCTGCGAGGCGGAGGGCTGTCACTGCGGTCGCGGTACCGCCCCCCTCCCCTGCCACTCCAGGCCCCTGGTTCGTCATACTCCCTGGTGGGATCGTAGTAGGGAACGTATGAGGGAGCGTAGGAGGGAGCAAGGTGCAAAAATACGGCAACCGAAAAAAACGGGCCGTATTAAACGGCCGTTTTTTTCGGTGATTTGAGGAAAAATACGCCGAATTTTTAATAGACGAAAATGTGCTTTAAAAAAAAAAACCCTATTCTGACCAGTAAACAGGTGGGGACAACTGCCATGGGCTTACTAACGTCAAAACAGCATCTAAATGCGGCTACAGATAGAAACGCCTCTACATTCGATAAGTCTACCCCCTCCTCCTCCTGCAGGTGTCTACCTCCCCATCCTCATCCTAAGCCTCCCCCTCCTCCTCCTAAACCTCCCCCCTAATGCTCCTAGGCTTCCTTGTGAGCCTCCCCCCCCTAATCCTTCTAAGCCTTCCCCTACTCCTCCAAGTGTCTACTCGTCGTCCTCCTCCAAATGACTCCTCCTCCTCCTCTTCCTCCTCAGCCCCCTCCTCCTCAACCCTAAAATGTTGAGCGAACAATCTCCCAACAGCGCGAGCAAACCCAACCACATAACAAGACCTCGATTGGCAATTATAAACCTAGTACACCTCCCATTAAAAAAAAGACCGTATAATACGACGTTTTTTTGCACACGCATGAAAACGCACCCAAGACCGTTTTTTTCCGTATTAAACGGTCGTATATTTCGGTACAGTATGATACGGGCTAAAAAGGAAAAATACGCCGTTTTTTTGTACCTTGGGAGGGAGCATAGGAGGGAGCGTAGGAGAGAGCGTAGGAGGGAGTATAGGAGGGAGTGTAGGAGGGAGTGTAGGAGGGAGTGTAGGAGGGAGTGTAGGAGGGAGCGTAGGAGGGAGTGTAGGAGGGAGTGTAGGAGGGAGTGTAGGAGGGAGTGTAGGAGGGAGCGTAGGAGGGAGTGTAGGAGGGAGTGTAGGAGGGAGTGTAGGAGGGAGTGTAGGAGGGAGCGTAGGAGGGAGTGTAGGAGGGAGTGTAGGAGGGAGTGTAGGAGGGAGTGTAGGAGGGAGCATAGGAGGGAGTGTAGGAGGGAGTGTAGGAGGGAGTGTAGGAGGGAGCGTAGGAGGGAGCGTAGGAGGGAGCGTAGGAGGGATCGATACATGGGAGCGTTTGTATGGTGACATGGTGGTGCAGTGCGTGGATGCTTCAACACACACAGCAAAGCATTTCATCTGAACCACAGTGCACTTTCAACACAGCCACAGCGCAGCGCAGCACAGCACAGCACAGCACAGCACAGCGCAGCGCAGCGCAGCACAGCACAGTAAACGGCACACCTACTACCTATGAACACGGCCCTTTCTCACCTGCGGCCATACAGCCGTCCCCTGCCGCCATCGCCATATCCCCCGCCATAGCCCCCACCATAGCCCCTGCCTCGGAATCGTGCGGGGGGGAGGGGCTCAGGAGAGGGAGAGGGCGTGCGGTACTTGCGGGCAAACGCAAACTTGTCGGAAAACCCTCGGCCCTTGCGCACTCGTACAGGACCAGCACCACCAGCAGCATCAGCAGCAGCAGCAGCAGCATCACCACGTGCTGCCACTGCTGCTGCGGGAGGGGCAGCCAAGTCATCAGCGGGGGCGCCTGCTGCTGCTGGTATAGCAGCAGCAGTGTCGGCAGCAGCAGCGGCAGCAGCAGCAGCGACAATAGCAGCTGCTGCAGCAGCTGGTGCTTTGCCCAGCCTGTCCAGCACACTCCCTGCAGCCCGCTTGCGAGGAGGGGGCGACGGGGAGCGCGAAGGCGAGCGAGAGCGAGAGCGAGGGGGGGAACGAGAGGGAGCGGGTGAACGGGGGCGAGGGGGGGAGCGGTAGAGAACGGGAGAGCGGGAGAGTGACTTGCTTCTGCTGCGACTGATTCGCCTCTGGCCCCTCCCTCTGCTCCCACCATCTCTCCCCCTCGCCTTCCCTCCCTGCCCTCCACCTCCTCCCACTACCACACCCCTGTCTCCCTTCACCTCCAGCCGCCTATCTTCCTTCCCATCCACACCCTGCTGCTCCTCCTCCTCAGCTATCCCTCTCCTGACCCCCTCCTTCCCATCCCTCACTATCTTGGCACCCCTGTCCCCCTTGGCGGCCACTATCTTGGCTTCTCTTTCAACCCTGGTCCTCTCCGGACCCTGCTGCTCCTCCTCCACGCCCCTTCCCTCCTCCGCTCCACCCTCGTCCACTGCCCTCTTGACCATCGCATCATCGCTGCTCGCATCCCCTTTGACCCTGCCCTGTGCCCTCTTCTCAGCGGCATATCCCCCAGCGTCCTCTATGTCTTCGCGGCCCGCCCTCCCTTTCACCCCGTAGTTACCCCCACTCTCTTCCTCTCTCTCATCCTCATCACCCACTCCGCCCTCCCTCGTGTCTTCATCACCCATCCCCTTGAGCTTCTTTCTCCCCTTCTCCTTTCCATCTTCCTCCGCTCGCTCTGCCTCTTGTGCCTTGAGTTTGTGCCTCTTGTTCCCATCGCTGCTCTCATTCCTCCCTGCTCCAACCTTGTCGCCACCCTTCCCTTTCTCGCCCCTTTCCTTCACCGCTGCTCGCTTTCCTGAGCCCTGCTTGCCCTTCGCGTCCCCAACACTCTTCCCTGCAGACAACAAGCCAGTTCAAAACAACCCAACCCAGCCCAACCAACCCAAGGAGCACATTCAACAACGGAGGTAGAAGTGTCGATTTGAGACGTCTCAAAACCACAGAGGTTCAATGTGGGATGAGAAGAGATCAAGTATGACAGCCCGGAGCCACCAGAAGCATCAGAAGCAACGCCGAGAGTCATACGCTTGCTACATGTATTGTTTTACTGCGCCGAGGGGAGAACGCACAACCTGTCACCCCATTCTTGTCCTCCATCGTTTAACCCCCCACCCCTCTCCCTCGTTCTGACTCCCTTTCAACCCCTTATTCCCCAATCCCCCTCCCTTTGTCCCGCATTCACACCCACCTTTGCCCTTGTGGGAGGGCCTCTCATCCTCACTGCTGCTGCTGCTGCTCTCACTGGTCGACGTGCCACTTCCTGACTCCTCGTCCTCGTCCGAGTAACTGCTGCAGCACAGGAGCACAGGAACACACATGGCAACACTTCACACACGAACTCGCCCCGTTGCTAGCACCACAAGAACCTGCTGCGCATGCAAGAACCCGTTGTGGACCTCAGATGGCATGGCACCAAAAGGACAACAGGCTGCACCTGTAAGCGGCCACACAGGGTGAATCCCCATTACAGGCTGTGACAAGTAAACGCACGGAGAAGTTAACTCCCCATTACAGGACCTTACCATGTGCGTGGACATAGAAGTAAGTACAGAACCCCCGTCAGGGTACCCACCGGCCCACACAGATGTTGACCTTCCCTTGTTGTACGCCTTACCTCTTCTTCTTCCCTTTCGCCTTGCCCCCTCCCCGGTCCTTCTTTCCCTGCCCTCCCCTCTCCCCTTTCGCTTTCCCCTTCTCCTGAAGCTGCTTCCCTCCCTTCTTCCCCACCCCTTCCTCCTTCTCCTTCCTCCCCTCCTCGCCCTCCTTCTCCTTCTTCCCCCCCTCTCGCCCCATCCTCCCCCTCTGCTCCTCCTCACTCTCCTCCTCCTCCTCCTCCTCTGAACCCGGCTCTCCCTTTCCCTTGCCCTTCCTATCCCTCTCCTTGCCACTCCCCTTGACCTTCTCGTGCCCTTTACCCTTCGTCTCCTGCTCCTTGCCTTTAGCCTCCTTCTCATCCCCATTCTCCTCACCCTTTCCCGCCTTCTTCACCTTCCCCCTCACCTCCGCCTCCTCATCCTCCTCTCGCTCATCTCTACCCTTCCGCCCGCCCCCATCTTTCTCCTTCCCCTTGCCTTTCTCCCCTCCCTCGCTCCCCTTCCCCTTCCCCTTCTTCTCATCTTTCCCCTTGACTGACCCCTTTCCCCCACCCTTCCCCTTCCCCTTCCCCTTCCCCTTCCCCTTCCTAACCCCCTTCCCAGCCCCCGAGTCTGGCGAATCGGACTCGCCATCAGAGCTGCTGCTGTAAGACTCCGAGCTTGACCCTGAGCTCCGGCTATCCGACGAGCCTTCCGAGCCTGACGCGCTGGTTCGGGAGTCCGAGCTAGCATCGGAGTCAGACGAAGACGACGATTCGTCAGAGTCACTTCCGCTGCTGTCATCACTGCTCGAGTCATCCTTTCGCCTTCTCTTACTGCCATGCTTCCCACCACCACCACCCTTCCCTCGCTTCTTCTTCATCGCTTGCTTCCCCTTCTTCCCCTTCTTGCCCTTCCTCTTGCTGCTGCTTCCGCCCCTCCCTTTCTTCTTCCTCCCCTTATCCTCCTCGTCCTCACTCTCCTCCTCGGAACTATCCCCACGCCGCCTCTTCCTCCCCTTCTCCTCCTTCCCCTTCTCCTTCCCTTTCCCGCCCTTCCCGCCCTTCCCACCCTCCTCCGCCACCTTCCCCTCCTCCTCCGCACTCTTCTTCTTCCCACCACCGCCCCCCGCAGCAGCAGCAGCGGGCAGCTGGCCGCACTTGGCGATTTTGATGGGGAAGACGGGCCGGTCCCTGTCCCCCGTGGGCTGGCTCTCGATGGCCCGCACCACGTCCATGCCCTCCACCACCCGCCCGAACACCACGTGCTTGCTGGACGCGGGGGGAAGGGGGGGGGGGGAAGAGAAAAGTAGGAACAGTGGGCGGGGGTGTTGAGAAAGGTGAGGTGAGAACCACGTCCATGCCCTCCACCACCCGTCCGACCACCACGTGCTTGCTGCACCGGGGGGGGGGGGGGGTGGGGGAGGAGTGGGGAGTGGGGGAGGAGGGGGAAATCGGTTCGACAGTAGCAGGTGGGGGACTCGAGGAAGGTGAGATGAGAGAAGCGCGTCCATGCCCTCCGCCACGCGCCCCAACACACCACGTGCTCGCTGGAAACGGAGGGACGAAAGCGGGGGAGGAGGGGGAAGGGGGGGAGGGAGGGAAGGAGGGAGGGAGGGAGGGGAGGGGGGAAGTGGGCGTGCGCTGAGGAAGGCGAGATGAGAACCGCGTGCATGCCCTCTGTAGAGCGTGGGGTGAGGGGGAAGGGAAAAGGAGGCGCCAATCGATCCGACCCACCAGCGGGCAGGAATGCTAGGGTAGGTGCGGTACGAACCACGTCCGTGCCCTCCCCCACCCGCCCGCACTCCCCCTCACCCCCCACTGCTCTCTCTGCCCCGCGCCTCCATGTCCAGATTTGATTTGAGTCGTCTCAAAACCCCCCAACTGCTCCCTTTGTCTGCCCCACCATGTCCTCCTCCCTGCTGCTCACCCGTGGAGGGGCGGGGCAGAGAGCGCCCGCCCGCCACTGCTGCTCACCCGTCGAGGTGCGGCGTGGCTTTGAAGGTGAGGAAGAACTGGCTGCCGCTGGTGTTGGGCCCCGCGTTCGCCATGCCCTCCGCCACTCGCCCTCCCAAACCCCTTTCACCCGCTCACCCCCCATCGCCCTCTCTGCCCCGCCCCTCCATGCCCTGACCTCTCCCCCCCCTCACCCGTCGAGGTGCGGCGTGGCTTTGAAGGTGAGGAAGAACTGGCTGCCGTTGGTGTTGGGCCCCGCGTTCGCCATGGACAGCGTCCCCGCCGCCGCGTGCTGCATCTTGAAGTTCTCGTCTGCGCCGAGGGGGGAGAAGCGGGGCGCGCGGGTGCGGAGGGGGAGAGCGGGGAGGGGGAAGAGGGGAGGGGGGAAGGGAGACGAGGGTAAAGGTGAATGGAGGAGGAGGGAAAACGCGAGACGGAGAGAGAAGCGAAAAGGGGCAAAAACATTAAGGGGGGTCCAGGGAACGTTGGAGGCAGAAAGAGTACAATGGAATGAGCGGACGCGTGAAATCTGAAAACGTGCAGGAATCACCCGGCCCAACCAGCCAGGATGGGCCATGAGAATAGTAGCCAGCGCATGATACAAGCGCGGAGTGCAAGCGGAAACAGCAGGGGGGGCAAGGTGATGGGACGATGGGACGATGGGACGATGGGATGAGGGGAGGAGAGAGGAGTGCGCACTGACCTGCGAACTTGCCGCCGTAGATGCTCTCCCCTCCAGTGCCTGGGCCACCAGGGGGCAAAGGGGGGGAAGGGGGGGAAGGAGGGGAATAGGGGGAAGGGGGGGGAGGGGGAAAGGAGGGGAAGGGGGGGAATGGGGGGAAGGGGGGAGGAGGGGGGGAATAGGGGGAAGGGGGAGGGAGGGGGGAAATAGGGGGGAGGGGGGAAAAGGGGGGAAGGGGGGAATGGGGGGAAGGGGGGGGGGGGGGAATAGGGGGAAGAGGGGGGAGGGGGGAAAGGGGGGAATGGGGGGAAGGGGGGGGAGGGGAGGAATATGGGAAGGGGGGGGAGGGGGGGAATAGGGGGAAGGGGGGGAAGGGGGAAAGGGGGGGGAGGGGGGAAAGGGGGGAAGGGGGGAATGGGGGAAAGTGGGGGAGGGGGGCAAAGGGGGGAAGGGGAGGGAGGCGGGGGAAGGGGAGGGAATGGAACAGAGGGCGGTTGGGACGGTGGGAAAGGGGGAGACGATCCACCACGAATCAGGGTTGGAAGCGTCTTCATACGTGATGCATTGACGCGACAGAATGGCGGACAGGAGGAGCGAGCATGAGCGATGGGGAGACTGAACGAAGTGGGGACGACGATTTACAACGAAAAAGGAGATGTAGGGGGCGGCGGAAACCGAGAGGCAGAAACGGATAGGCGGAAGCGGAGAGGCGGAAACGACGGGCAGAGCAGAGGTGTGTAGGGAAAGGAACGGAAAGGGAGGAAAGGGGCCGTACCGTCCTTGTTGCTGAAATCGCCCCCCTGCGCAACCGCAAAACCGCGGCCGTAGCCGTAGTGGGACATACGCACGCACACACAGACGATGACGCAGACGGACACACGGGGATAGGAGCGGTCAGATCCGTACATAGCGATACCAGAACCAGAAGCCGCCATGGGCGGTGAAGCGGAGAGGGAATCAGAGGGTTTCTGGAAGAGCCAAAGAGCGCGAGAAGTGGGAGTAGGGCAATGAGAGGGTAACGACGAGGAGACTCGACGGGAGAATGCGAGAACAGGAGGGAGGGCTGCAGGGAGGACGGGAGGAAGGACGGGAGGGAGGACGGGAGAGAGGATGCGAGAGGAAGGGAGGGAGCGAGAGCACCTGCGCCATGAAGCCAGCGATGACGCGGTGGAAGACGGTGCCCTTGAAGTGGAGCGGCTTGTGCGTGAACTTGCCCTCCCCCATCTCGCCTGGTGCCGTGTTCATCACATCACAAGGTGCAAAGTGGCAGGCAGAGAAACTATCAGAAGCGCAATGGCGGTTTTAGGTCAACGAGCATACACGCTACGGAGGATTTTAACCCTTTTTTTTTAAGGCGCAAATTGTATAAAGAAGCATCGCTTTTTTCTCTCCGTGAACCCTATATCACGAAAATGAGAACAGCGGCGCATGTAGCGGGCCCGAAAAACGGGATGCGGTAATAAAACTGGCGCGACAATACACGACGATAAACTGGCGCGCAGGCGAGCAGCATGTGGTCCGTCGAGTAGTAGCCTGTGCGGGCGAGGAGCAGAGAGAAAATCGTACCAGTGCAGAGAGCTCGAAAGTTTTCCGCGGTACGCGGAACCACATCGGCGAATAGCTGCGAGGGGAAGGGGTTCGGGGAGAGACCAATGCCGGCACAGAGAGACACATCGATGGCGGCAGCGATGGCCGCAGCGATGGATGCAGATGGAGAAATGCACGAGGGTAGTAAATCGGCAGATGGGAGAGAAACACAGATCGGCAGGACGGAGAAAAACGAAACGGGTAAATCAGCGAGATCGGAAAACCCTAACCGCACCTCCATCACGACTCGCTGGGCTTTATTCCCGCTGATGGATATGTCGAAAAAAACCCGCGGGTTTTCGGGCTTTCCCATGGCGGGCGAATGGCGAGTGACGAAGGGATTGACTGCTAAGTCGCTGTGAAGGAGAGCTAAAACCTAACTACGTCTCTCCTTCGCGCTACAACTGTGATGTGAGAAGGGGGATGCGACTGGTCCGGGAGGCTCCTACAATGTGGTTGAGCAGTTCCCGCACTGGTGGGGGAGGGGTTTGTGGTGCTCTGGAGAGCCAGCGATCAGGGCGCGTTCCCAAACTAGGGCAGGAAGCTTGCCAGAAAGTTTATGGACGACCCTGAGCGCTGGACGATAGATTTTAGACACGTTATATCTAGTAGAGCGTTGGCTATCTGGTAGAGATTTCCAGTGAAAAGGATTTTCGACTATCCTGAGCGTTGAAAACTTGTTGGCAAGTTACGTGGCTTACGGGAGAACGCGCCCTGAGCAGCACAGGCCTGCTTCTTCAACCAAGGAAGTTGACACATCACTGAACGGCACATATACAAAAAGTGTTGTTTTAAGTGGATAGTTCCTCGGGTGACATTTGAAGAGGGGCAACTCTGATATGGTGTGAACCTGCAAGGATACTGACACTTTTTGCCCCCACTCAAAACATTTCCCAATGGTGTAAACCTGGAGGCATACTGTAGCATTCTTAGTGATTGAGGAAACCCATGAGCACCTGGACTGATGGTGGCTGGCAGACCTGTAGTGCAGATCCCTGTGTGTATGCTGTGTTTATCCATTCTCCAGAGCGGAGAATGCTGGAGGCTACCTTATATGGGTAGCTCATAGGGGATAGACCTGTAGTTGCCTGCGCACCCACCCCCGTGATTGGTGGCACACTGTTAGTGTGGTGCCTGAGATGTTCTATCGCCGAAATTGAGGGGGCGCTCCAGGGAGGGAGAATTTCCCACAAAGAGGTGGAAGAAGGAGGGGGTGCGTGGTGTGCGTAGAGAAAGAAGCTGGTCGCTGGGAGGGGTTGGGGGGAAGGGGAGGGGGAGGGGAGGGGGGGGGCTTACTGTGTATGCATACGTGATGGTTGATAACGGTATGTAGCCTTATAAAAAAGCCTAATAAGCAAAGCATTTTAGCCTTCTCCCATGTCTTCATTCTTCAGCCTTGTCTTCTGTCCGTGGTTGCCTTGGTTCCCCTGGGAGAAAAGGGACTGGGTCAGGCAGCAGGGTATGAATCCCAACAGCAGCACAAGAGGAGTGAATGGTGGTACATGGCCTAAGCATGTAGCTAAGGCACTACACAACACACCTAACAGCGATTATGATGAGACACATACAGACTGATTTATTTCCTCTGAAGCAAAGCTCAGGGATACTGAAGGGCGCATGACGATGTCAGTGGTGGAGGAGAGATGGATGTCGCTTGCAAGGTGGGTTGCAAGGGATATACGTGGAAGAGGAAGCAGGTAAACAGCCTTGATTGGAGGCAAGGACTCGATTGATTGATTGGTTGATTGGTGTCCTGCATTTGTCTCACGCCAGTGGAACAGAACACAGGGGAGGAGTCAGAGAGGAGACAGGGAAGGTGTGAGACAAGAGACAGGGCGAAAGGATGGAACTGAACAATCGAGGAAGGAAAGGAAAGGATAAGGGACGGGGTTTGAGGAATCTTACCACAAGAAGCGGGAGTTCTCAAGAACCGGCATCTCTTGTTGTCCCTCCCATGTCCTTTCCTGTAGAAGGAAATACAGGAGAGCAGGAGACAGAGAGGAAAGCAGTGAAGGGGAAGCATGATAAGGGGAGGATCAAAAGAAGGAAACTAAAATATCAGCATTAAAAGTACGAGAAAAGGAGAAAAGACAGGGAAAGAGGAGCATATTTGAAAACAATATTGAGGAGGGGATTAAGAAGGGGATGATCTGAAACCTACCAGGAAAAGAGGGCTCATTCTATTTGCCCTACCATGTTTCCCTTTCCTGTTGCCCTTTCCTGTTGCTGTTTCTTGTTGCCCTTTTCTGTTGCCCTCCGATGCCAGCACTGCTGTCAACGCCTGTACAAGGAGAGACAGGGGAGGAGGATACAGGGAAGGTATGAGAGAAGAGAGAGGTGGGGTGGTGGTATCCAAAGGAGGAGCGTGAGAGGGGTCTTACCACGCCACCTTGCCAGTATCTCGTGAGCATTGTTGCTCCATCTGGCCTCCTCTGCTCCCTCTGTTCGCCTGATGGAAAGCAGTGACAATCCCAGGGAAGAAAAGGAGGTCAGTGAGAGGGGACAGAAGGAAGAATAGGGGGAAGGGAACTGGAGAGCAACGGAGTAGCAGGAGGGGAATACAGCAGCGTAAGGAGAACGAACAGAGGAGGGCTCTCACAAGAGTGAGAGGGAACTTACCGCATTGTGTCGCTGCCCCCTCTTGTCTGATTCTGCTCTTCCTGCGCCCTTTTCTGCTCCCGTTAACCTGAGAAAGTAACATTTACAACGGAGAGAAGGAGGTCAGGGAGAGGGAGAAAGGAAGAAGGCTGGAAGAAAACGACTGGCAGGGCATAATATTGTGACGAGGGGAGCCAAGGATACAAAGACAAGATGGGTCTTACCTCATCGCACCCCTGCCTCTGCTCCCTCTGAATCAGCGTCTGCTCATCTGCCTTTGCTCCCGTTCACCTGAGTGTGGAGGGAGGGGCAGGGAGGGGTGCTAACACCTCACGGCACAGTGGCACACAGCCGGAAGTGACGGTTACAGGGGGGAGAAGGGGGTCAAGGAGCTTGAAGGAAGGAAGAAATGTGGACGAGAGGGATAAAGAAAAGGAGAGGCAAGGCATAAGAAACCAAGGAGGGGAACTTAGGATAAGGACACAAGGGATCTTACCACATGGAGTGTGCCACAATTACCGCATCGCTTTGCTGCTCCCCACCTTGTGCTCCTCCCCGCCTCTGCATCCGCCCCTACTCACCCGCCTCTACTCCTGTTCGCCTGAGCGTGAGTGTGAGGGGAGGGGGGGAAGGAGAAGAGGAGGGGAAGGGGAGGGGCAGGCAGGGAAACGTAGGGGTGCACACCTCACGACACCGATCACTCCACAACTCTCCTGTAGACAGGAGTGAAATGGGGCGTGGGGAGGGAAAAGGGGAGGGGGCGAAAAGGAAAAGAGAGAGAAACACCTCAAGATCCTCCGGCTCCTCACCTGGGAAGTGGGGAGGGAAAGGGCGGCCAGCGGTTGAGGGAAGGGGCGAGGGTAACATGCACCCCATGTATAAATAATTACAACAGGTCAAGCACTTTAGGACAGTAGTTCCAACTACACACATTTCATCCCTTATTTCATTGTTCTTCCATTCTGCAATTGTTCTTTTAAGTGTGGGTAGGAGTACCTGTGGTTAGGCGCGGCCCTGTGATTGAAATGTGCTGTCTGTGTCTGTCTGTCTGCAGAGAGCAGGCGAGCAGAGAGTAAGTGAGCAGAGAGTAAGTGAGCAGAGATTAAGTGAGCAGAGAGTAAGAGAGCAGAGAGTAAGTGAGCAGAGAGTAAGTGAGCAGAGAGCAAGTGAGCAGAGAGTAAGCGAGCAGAGAGTAAGCGAGCAGAGAGTGAGTGAGCAGAGAGTAAGTGAGCAGAGAGCATGTGAGCAGAGAGTAAGTGAGCAGAGAGATACATACCAAAAAGCAGCTCCACCCCCCTCTCCCTGCAGCAAAGGGCGATGCAGAATAAATACATGACGCACGGCCATGGGAGTACAGCAGCAAGATGAGGCAGAGAGATACCTACCATGATGCCAGCAGCTCCAATCCCCCTTGTGAGGCAGATAGATTCATACCAGCATGCGAGCAGCACCAGTCCTGCTCTGCAACTCGTCAAGGGCAACGGGCGTTGTGGTCAGAAGGGCACGCAGGGGCCAGTCACAGTCCAGTGAGTGCCTGCCGTGCGTCATCCCACTGCTGCCCTCCCTGCCGCCCTCCCTGCTGCCTCTAGTTGCTTGCAGATGCTGCAATCGTGGGGTAAGGAAGGAAGGACGGGGCGGGGGGGGAGGGAGGGGAAGGGACAAGTGAGAAAAGGGAGGGAGGGAGTGATCGATCACGCAAATGAGACTGAAAGCAAGGAGAGTTAAAAGCAACAGATGAAGATTCAAAGCAAGGACAGTTGAAAGCAAGGAACGATTTCCCTCGTAGTGGCTGGATTGTCAATCTCGGGTTGTCGGCGTTGTTGCAATGCCACAGTTGGAGTGTTTCAGGAGCAGTTGGGCAGAGTGAGTGGAGAGGGTATGTTGGGAGCTGCAGGCCTCAGCAGGGGACCATACCAACTTACAGTGAGTGTCTACCTATGCCACCTGGGGAGGGTCCCGAGGTGAGAGCACTGACAACCAGAGGAGGAGAAGTGAGAGGAGAAGGAGAGCGGGAGGGGTGTGAAGGCGCGAGCGCAGGGCTCTCCTCCTCTCCATGGATGGGTGCTCTCCGCCCCTCAGCTGCACTCATGGCTGCACCACGTGCTCCCAGCAACCGCAACCCCTCCAGCCAGACTTCCTCCAACCGCACTCCCTCCAATCGCACTCCCTCCAGCCGCACTCCCTCCAACCACACTCTCAGCAGCGGCACCCGGAAGCCTTGGGAACGACGGGGAGTGCGATGGTCCGCAGGGCGAGCAGGGCGAGCAGGGGTATGTGTCTCTCTGCCTGCCGTGCGTCATCCCACGGCCCTCCCACTCTGGCTCTGCAGCGCGCACGCCCTTGGACCTGGGACAATAGAATGGTGCAGGGAGAAAAGACACTGGGGGAAGGAGATGCAGAAAGTTAGGTCACGGCTTGACAAGCCAAAGATACATGCATGAAAGCGAAAGATACTCATAGAAACAAAGCCGTCCACAAGAAGAAAATGCGATAAAGATGGTACGGCTCAAAAAACGGAAAGGGCAATGGTTTGCCACAGCGCCAGGGCAGTGAGCTAGCATGCGAGGGGGACCAGGTAAGAGAGGGACGCGGGCATGAGGATGAATGCGTTTCTACCCCCTAGAACTCTAAAATGAGCCCTACTGCCCCAGTGCCACAGGCTACCATCGCCACGTGCCCATCACCCCAAAATGAATTTTTGATCCCTCCCTTTGTTTTTCAATGAGCAAAACAAGTAGAGACGGCGGGAATAAGCAAGCATTGACTGAGGAAAACGAAGATAGGAAAGGGACGAGAGGGAACTTAGCCGAAGGAGTGGCAGTTGCAAGGCTAGCGCCATGCCTACAGCACGTGCTCCCAGCAGATGCACTCCCGAGCAACCCCCCAGCAGCACTCCCCCATGAGCACTTCCCCCCAGCAGCAGCCCTCCCCCCAGCAGCAGCCCTCCCATCGGCAGCATTCACAGCAGCCACTCTTGAGCACCTTCAGCGCATGGGGGAATGCAGTGGTTTGCAGGGCGGAGTCACGCCACCGATACTGCCTGCCGTGCGTCATCCCACTGCCCTTCCTCCCCACGTAAGGCAGGCACAGCACAGGACGAGAGTGGAGGAGGAGAATAAGGAGGAGGAGGAGGAGGAGGAGGAGGAGGAGGAGGAGGAGGAGGAGGAGGAGGAGGAGGAGGAGGAGGAGGAGGAGGAGGAGGAGAGGAGGAGGAGAATAAGGAGGAGGAGAATAAGGAGGAGGAGAATAAGGAGGAGGAGGATAAGGAGGAGGAGGAGGAGGAGGAGGAGGAGGAGGAGGAGGAGGAGGAGGAGGAGGAGGAGGAGGAGGAGGAGGAGGAGGAGGAGGAGGAGGAGGAGGAGGAGGAGGAGGAGGAGGGGGGGGGGGGGGGGGGCAAGGGTTGTGGAGGGCATGTGCACGGCAGTCACCGCCCAGTGAGTGCCTGCCGTGCGTCATCCCACTGCCGCCATCCCTGCCGCCTCTAGTTGCAGCTGCTGCTGTCATGGGATGGACCACTAGGAGGGAAGGGGGGGGGGGGGGGGGGGGGGGGGGGGGGGGGAAGGGACGAGTGAGAGAAGGGGGAAGGGAGTGAGCGATCAGGCAAACAAGATTAAAAGCGAGGACGGTTGAAGGCAAGGACGGTTGAAAGCGAGGATGGCTGAAAGCGAGGATGACTGAAAGTGAGGACGGTTGAAAGCGAAGATGGCTAAACGTAAGGAGCGAATGCTCTGGTAGCGACTAGATTGTCGGTGTTGGATTGTCGGTCTTGCACTGCTGCTGTTGGAGTGATCCAGGAGCGGCTGGGCGAGAGGGTGTGTTGGAGGCTGCAGGTCTCACCAGGGACCATACCACACTTAGAGTGAGTGTCTACCTCGCAGCCACCATGCTCAAATCATGGCACGGCCTCTATCACCCGGAGAGGGTCCTGTGGTGAGAGCACTGACAGCCAGAGGAGGAGGAGTGACGGATGACGGGAGGAGGAGAGCGGGAGGGGTGTGAAGGCGCGAGTGCAGGGCGCTTCTCCTTCCCGTGGGTGGGTGCTCTCCACCCATCAGCTTCACTCATAGCTGCACCACGTGCTCCCAGCAGCAGCACTCCCTCCAACCGCTCTCCCTCCAGCCGCACTCCCTCCAACCGTACTCCCGCCAGCTGCACGCCCAGCAGCAGCGCTCCCTGCAGCGGCACCTGTCAGCCATCAACTCGAGGGGGAGTGCGGTGGTCAGCAGGGCGAGCAGGGGGTATGTGTCTCTCTGCCTGCCGTGCGTCAACCCACAGCCCTCCCACTCTGGCTCTACCACGGACAATCCCTTGGGCCTGGGTCAAGGGAATGGTGCAGGGAAAACAGACACAGAGGGAAGGAGATGCAAAAAGTTGGGTCACAGCATGCCAAGCCAAAGATACATGCAAAAACAAGTGAGAGATACATGCATGAAAGTGAAAGATTTGTAGAAACGAAGAAAATGGGATACAAAGAGTACGGCTCAAAAGAGGGAAATGGAGATGGTAGCCCACGGCACCGGGGCGGCGAGCTAGCTCGCGAGGGGGACTAGGTAAGAGAGGGACGCGAGCATGAGGATGAATGCGTTTCTACCCCCTACAACTCCAGTATGAGGCCTACTGCCCCAGTGCCATGTGCTACCATCGCCATGCGCCAAGGGTATACAAATAAACTTTTGATCCATCCTATGTGACCCATCTTTTATAAGGCAAGTCAAAGAGGGCATAAAGCTGGAAGAGACACAGAGCTGAGAGCACATAGCAGCACTTAGCACGAGGAGGGTTGAGTGCACTTAGCGCAATGAGGTGGTGCAGAAGTAGGTGTTGATGCAGCCACCGATGGCAGCAGCACATATCGCAGCAACAATGCCAGATCCTTCACTCTGCTTGCTGCCTCCCTCTGTGTATTGCCTCCCTCTGCGTGTTTCCTCCCTCTGCTTGCTGCCTCCCTCTACGTGCCGCCTCCCTCCTGTCACCAAGAAGTGAGTCGACCAAGCCTTGAATTGACCTGCACGAAGCAACAAGCGCAAGGTAGAATGAGATGCAGCCAAGGGATGAGCACCAGTAACCATGACGAGGTGTAGCAAGGACAGCTCCTAAGGGAGCACCAAGAAAAAAAGAAGCATCTACGTACAAGGAGGTGCAGAAAGCATATTACCATATAAGGTGCAGAGGAAGCAGCAGCAGCAGTGTCACTAGCACAGCCGTTGCCACTAGTAGCGCCATTGCCAGCAGCAGAAGCGCCAAGCCATTTGTCCCACCTAGTCTTGGAATGGCTTGGAGAGCATGAGTATGTAGTGCTAGAGTGACCCTCTTCCTCATTTGACCTCAACCCGAATATTCTTCCCGAACAGTCGCAGCTTCTTCGACCGTTGCACCGTGACGAGACCCGTGGATCCTAGCGTGATTCTAATAGTGCAAGGGTGCACAGTTGACCGTGCTATGTTACCCTAAGGTTCGCAACGTGTACGCTAGTTTTCGCCGCTCTATTCGTGATGTTACCCTACAATGGTACGACGAAGACGAACCATGATAAGATGGGATCAATCGACTAATGGCATCTTTGGACACACCTCGGCGTAACTAGTCTCTGAGATAACATTCAATCCGAAATCGTGCACAATACTCTTGCATACGCACAACTCCTTCGCGGCCTTTTTAGTGTTCACCCCCTTATGCAAAAGGGTGGGTCCAGGAAAAGTGAGAGAAAATCATTGCTGAGATTTGCACTAACCTCGTAGATAACATGCCTGAGAGGGTGTGGGTGGTGATCAAGGCCAAGGGTCGGTGGACTAGATACTAGAAACCCTGTTCGGAAGTTTGCTCTTTGTCATGGGAAACAATTGTCCTGATGAAACCATTGAATATGTATTGGAGTATGAGTTAGATCTAATGCACTATTCCGGATTTTAGTACTGTGAACACATCCACTATATGCCCCTCCCAAACTGTACCACAATTAAACACCAAGGCTTAATGTACAGTGGTCGGAAAGCCTAAAAACCCTTAATAATGCTTAACATCCGGGCAATTGTTTCCGTCACTATACCGGTCGGGCGTCAATCTCAGGTAAACACCTCAGTAAGGGTATACCCAATTTTCTTGCCATGTCCAGCTGTATGAGGCTGTGACTCGCGCCTCCATCAACGAAAATCTCCAGAAACACCCCGTTGTCTTTACCCTCCACCAACGCAAGGTGATCAGCAGTTTCGTCCCCCTTATTCGTCCGGGTCCGGTCGATTGCAGCAATCAGGATCACGACCTGGTGGGGATTGTGTGGCTCGGGCAAAAAAATCTGCCCGTAAGTAAGGGGCCCAGTACTTACTGACGCAACCCATTTCCTGGTCGCTCCTCCGGCTTCTTCCCCCTAGAATTTTGTAGGGCAATGAATTCTTGGCAGTTGCATCGGATATGACCCAGCCAGCCACAGTTGTAGCATAGCCCCGTATTTCACAGAGGAACTGCGTAAATATCCACTGCGTCCACCCCTTTATCGTAGCGCGCTAGTACTGTTCTCGAGGGCGACCTCCGTCGTAGAAGTTCGTCCTCGACTTCGTGATCGAATTAGCGGCTTCGACGAGTTGGATGTAGTCTTGTAACTGCTTCACAGGGCGTTGCAGTTTTATCCGGTACTGTATTTCGGGCTTCAAGCTGCCCATGTACCTGTCAACCTTCTCCAACTCGTGCATGTATCCACATCTATCGACAATGTGAGGAATGACGCGTTCGGACTCAGATCCCAGCTGCTTCCACATGCGTAGAGTTTCGTGTGCCTTGTCTGAGTCAGGTGCATGCTCAAACCGTTTGCGAAGCTCTGCGCACCACGTTGCCCACGTGCAAAGATGGGTCGCTCCGAACAACAGGTCTGCCTCGTCTTCGTCGCAGAATTCTTCGGACCACTTGTGCTGTCCTTCCGTACGAGTTACTGCTGAGTCGACGATGATATTCCACCACTGTAGGGCGGCCCCTTGCAACAGTGTTAACGCGTGGCTGATCCGCTTCTGATCACCTCGGATGCCCGACGTGTTAAAATAGATATTCGTGTCGAATATCAACTTCCGCACTATCACACATTTATTAGCTAAATCGAAAGGAGCGGTTTGCTGATATCTTACGCCGCCACTTGTCGAGCGCGGAGCTGTTGCCACATTTCGTGCCAGATCCACTGGCGACGGACGCTGCTCACCCGCCTCGCTTCGTCCATCATCGTCTGGCACCTCTGAACGCTTCTCCTGCGCCTAGTGAAGTCGCTGGTTCTCGTCGCGGAGGTCGTTGATGACGCTTGTCAGATTCTTCAGCTGCTCCATTAATGCTTGCAGGTCCACAGTTTCCCGGGCAGAGTTCGCAGTAGTCGAGGTGGACTGTTCCTCAACTGTTGAATCTACCGGGGCCATGGCGGTCAGGACGCGGCAGAAGCTAGCGTGCACGTTGTAGTTGCTGGCGTAAAAATATTTACGACCCAAGGCAACTATTGTGCAGCCGTGCTAATCCCCTCTGACCACCCTTAACTAATTAAACGAAACGAAAGGTCCCTGGAAAGGTCGGGCTCTGATACCAGCTGTTATGATATAGAAAGTATCAATGAATAATAACATGAGAATACAAGGTCGCTATTGCAATGAAGGCACGGGGTTATATAGGGGTTGGCGTGCTAAGGCGACAACCTCGGAACGTGGGTAGGCTCGGCAATGTGGCATGGCAACTGTGCCCGACGCGACCCGGGGAAGGGTTGGGCCGACAAATGAGGCAGAACGTGATGAGTCGAGGAGTTCGGGTGTACGCGCTAGCGTACGACTTAGTAAGGAATGGAAACTCCTTAGTGTGTCACACAGGAACATGTGCCACGCGATAGTTACACTGAAGTGCAGTTCACGCTAAATCATTCGCACTATGTACAAGTCTCAACAAGACACATTGGCAATATAAATGGTAAAAGAAAGTACACATACATCAAGGTCTGGCTAGGGTGAATTCCAAGCACAAAACACCATGCACCTAGTAGTTTGTGCTAATAACTTCCTCTATTGTGCCAATAACTTCCTCTGTTGTGCCACTACATGTTGCCACACCCATGACCTGTTGTATGTGCATGACAGTACCATGATGTGAGCAAGTTAGACCGAAGAACGTACAACCCATAAAGTCTACCCGTTGCTAAGAAGGCTTGTATGCCAAGCCACCAGCACTCCTACAATGGTACCATAATACTCCACCTACTGTTTTACATCCTACATATTCTAAGTCATCTCTGCATCACTCTTGAGTGCTGTCGAAGGCAGCAGTGGCGCCACCCCAACATCTGTGCGTGGGCTACGCACTGCCGGAGGCACTGACAGACTCGGTACCTCGTACGCGTGTTCTCTCAACTTCGACACCAGGAACTTGCACAAGTCCATCCAGACCGTGCTAATAACCGCAATCCCTGCAATGATCCCCCAATCCGACGGGCTTATGCTCTCCACCTGCAGCGCCATTTGAAGCCCAGGGGACACTCCTAGCAGCACGCAGAAGACCACAACAGCAAGCAGCCAGAGCAGCACCAGAGAGTTGGACACCGAAACCTTGCTGGGCAGCTGGCCGAACGTGCACATGTGGACGCCCACAAGGCAGGAGGAGATCAGCCACGCGGCAAGCACCACGGTCTGCATGTCGTTCTGCGTGGTGTTGCGCAGGGAGAAGGCGATGGAGAGCAGGCAGGCGGTGGCGGTGGAGATGGCGGCCGCAGCGGAGAGCGCGAGCAGCGGCGCGTCGAAGAATCGCTCGGTGCGGCGCCGGGGGGGCTGCAGCATGGTGTTGCTGTCTGGCTGCTCCACGGTGTAGGTGAAGAGAGCGGCCGTGTTGACAAAGACTGCTGCCACGATGATCTGCGTCGACTGCAACGGGTAGCTGTGGGAACCCATGGGACAGGGGGCACGTGCATAGAGAGACCAGGAGAATGAGGAAATAGGAGAGGAGAGGGGGGAAGGGAGATGAGGAGATCAGGACGAGAGAGCAGGGAGAAGGCAAGGCAGGGAGAACAACGTCCAGGAGCCAGAACATAAAAGAGCGTGCCCACACAGGAGACTCCCACGTATCCCACTATCGGGGGTGGGTAACAGCACTCACTTGAGCCAGAGTGTGCCGACCAGCATGACGACCACGAGCCCTAGCCGGCACCCGAGGCTGAGCGCAGCAGCCTTGCGCACATTGATAAGCAGTGCGCGGCCCTCCTCCAGCAGGAAGCGCACGGCGCCAAACGACCCGTCCAGCAGCACCACAGCTGCCGCATCGCGCACCACGTCCGGCGCCGCCCCCACTGCCAACCCCACGTCCGCGTCTGCAACCACTGGCGCGTCCACTATGCCTGGTTTGGGGGGAAGAGCAAGGAGGGAACTTGAGGTTGGGAGGGCGGAGGGGTGGTTTCTTGTGAGCAAAGAAGAGGGAGGCGGGAAGGCAGTGACAAGGGCAAGAGTGGGACATGGGAGGTGAGCAAAGAGAAGGCAATAAGCAAACCATACCTGTGCCACATGCAGCGACACATGCGCCGTTGGCCTGGAGGGCCTCAAGGATGCAGAGGCGGTCAATGGGCGAGGCACGCGCAAACACACTGGTGGCCTGCACCACCCCCCTCAGCTCCTCCACAGGCGTCTGTGCTGCTGGCTTGTCCATGCATGACACCACCTCCGAGGGCGCGCCCGGCTGCTGCTGGTGATGATGTGGATGATGGTGAGGAAGGTGGGGATGAGGATGGGGATGGGGATGGGGATGGGGATGGGGATGGGGATGGGGATGGGGATGGGGATGGGGATGGGGATGGGGATGGGGATGGGGATGGGGATGGGGATGGGGAGGGGTAGTGAGCGGGGGAGAGGGACGGGATAGCGCTGGTTCATTAAGAAAAGACTGGACTGCAAATAAGAATCAGAACTTCCAGCTACAACCGAATCAACCCCCAAACACACACACCCTTCCCAACCCACCCTCCCTCCCCAAAACACCCTCACACCTGTCCTCCTTTGCACAGCCCCACGGTCTTGTGTTATGAGTCCATTTTTTTAGTCGACTAATTAATAGACTCCCCATAACACCCTCGCGCATGTCCTCCTTTGCACAGCCCCATGGTCTTGTGCTATGAGTCTAGTTTTTTAGTCAACTAATTAATAGAATCCCCATAACACCATCCCACCTGTCCTCCTTTGCACAGCCCCACGGTCTTGGCGAGCGCAGCAGCGGTGCCCACATGATCGCTCGTGACCACCACGGGGCGCACCCCGCCCCTCTGGCAGCTGCCCACGGCATCATTCACGCCCGGGCGCGGTGAGTCCGCAGCCAGCACCACGCCCAGGAACGTGCAGTCGTGAATGGACGCCAGGATGGCGGGCCGCGATGACGCCCGCGGGCTCTCGGCGAGGATGTCGCCCGACGCGTACGCCACTAGCACGAGGCCTGCGGTGCGGTGCGGTGAGTGGGTGGGAGGGAGGGAGGGAGGGAAGGTGGGAAAGAGGCGAATGTGGGAACGGAAAGAGAGGACTGTGAGCACTCTGCCTTCCCTCTACCAATCTTTTCACAGTGTGTGAGCACTCGAGCCAGCCCTCTGTCACTGTTCCCCACCTTGGTCTGTGAGCTCGTGAACCTGCTCCTGGCTTTGACAAGACTAAATAAGCCCCCCACCCCCCCCCACCCTCCTCTTCTCCCCCCATCAGCTCCTGTCTGTGAGCTCGTTGTCCTGCCTCTGGATGGTGGTGCGCGACAAGGTGATGGACAAGGGGGGAGGAAGCGAAGCAGAAGGTTGCTGCCCTTATATCTCTCTCTCTCTGCCAACCCACCACGCCTTACCTACATGGACCCACAATACTTGTGTGAGCGCTTGAACAATGACCCCCAACCCCCCCCTCCCCTCCCCTCCCCCACGTTGCTGCCCATATCACCCTCCCTGCTACTGCTACCCCACTACGCCTTCCCTTCCCCCCCCCCTCCCCCTCTACGTGTGTGAGCGTGTGAGCGCCTGAGCGTTGACTGTGCACCTTGCTCCCTGAGCTCCTTGACCTGCTCCTGGATGGTGGCGCACGACGAGGTGATGGAGGCGGACGGAGGAATATCACTCTCTCTACCACCCCACAACGCCCTCCCCCTACGTGTACAGGCGCTGATAGTTGACCCCCTCCCCCCCCACCTTGCTCGGTGAGCTCGTTAATCTGCTCCTGGATGGTGGCGCGCGACGAGGTGATGGAGGCGGGCTCGCCGCGGTGCAGAATGGTGCCGCACTGCTGCAGCAGCACCTCCGGTGGGCCGCGCACAAACACACGCTGCCGCAACTCGCACACCCCGCCGCTGCTGCTGCTGCTGCTGCCGGCGCCGCTGGCAGCGTCTGCTTGTGAATCCACCCCAAGCTGGCCAGTTGGGTCGGCCGCTCTGGTGGTTGGGAAAAACAAAAAGAGAGCGAAGGATGGGGCAAAGGCGAATGGAGGGGCAAGGATAGGTGCGCAGGACGGTCAAGTCAGCCAGGAATCGTTGAGGTGATGGGGTGCAGATTCGAGCGCAGAGCTGGAGAGAGAGAGAGAGAGAGAGAGAGAGAGAGAGAGAGAGAGAGAGAGAGAGAGAGAGAGAGAGAGAGAGAGAGAGAGAGAGAGGGAGAGAGAGAACGAGGGCATTCGTTGTAGGAAAGGATAAGCGCAATGCAGGCTGTGCGAGCAACAGACCAGCAGGGCATGAATCGATTTTTGAGGCGCCTCAAAAATCAACAGACTAGCAGGGCATGAATCTGTGAGTGTGTGAACGTGAGTGAATGTGAGTGTGTGTGAATGTGTGAGCGTGAGTGTGTGTGAATGTGTGAGTGTGAGTGTGTGTGAATATGCTGTGTGACAGTGCACCCACCTCCTCCCCAGCGCCAGCAGTTTCTTTTGCACGGACTTGCCTCTCGTGACCCCCACTCCTCCCACCCCCCCCACCACAGTCCGCACATCCGCATACGTGCGCACGGCACACTTGAGCGTCGAGTCATACGAAGTGTCCGTCAGCCGCCTAGCCGCCGCCTTCGCCTCATAGCACCTCCGCAACAAGTCATGCAGCGGCCGCAGGCCCTTGGTAGTAGTAGTAGCTGTGGCCGTGGCTGTCGCTGCTGCCACCTCTGCCTCCACCCCCTCCAGCCCCTCATATGGTAGACTAGTCAGCACCGACGGCCCGCCCACCGCGCCCAGAATCGCCCAATCAAGTGCGTCCACGTGTCCGCCTCGCGCGGCCACGTCCGGGGTTGCATCACCTGCTTTTCGCCCGGACTCGAGCAGCGACTCGCTCTGCTCCTCCTCGCCTCCTGCCCCCAAAATGTCTACACTCACATCGCCAGCTCCTGCTTCCTTCGCTTCCTTTGCTATGGCGGCCAGAAACTCCGCATCCCCACCCTCCTCTGCTCCCCCTGCCGCCCCATTCACCTTCATACCGCTCCCACTGCCATCACTGCCGGCACTGCCGCTCTCCTCCCCTTCGCCTGCTGCTGCTCCTGCCCCCCCCCAGCTCCTCCCACCACCGGCCGCCAACCCAACCCCTCGACCTTCTCCCCGCCCCTCGTCGCCCCTCCTCCGCCCCCCTCTCTCCCCCCAGCGCTCCCCCCTAGATTCTCCGCCAGTAAGTCATCCCCCATGTCAGACATGAACACCCATGCTTCCAGCAGCTTCCCTAGTGCCTCCATCCCTCCCTCTGCTGCCAGCGGCCCCCCCTTGGGCATTTCCCTGGTAGCAACCGCTAGCTCCTCCACCCCTATCGCAGTGGAAGCGACCAGCAAGCCCTGGAGGCTCAGCCTCTCTTCTGTGAGGCATCCGGACTTGTCTGTTAGGATCGTGTCGACATAGGAAAGGTTCTCAACCGCACTGAGCTCCTTGAAAAATATCTTGTTCTGCACGAGGCGCTGGCTGCCCGCGCCCACCGTGGAGTAGAAGATCGCGGGCAGGTTCTCGGGCAGCGTGGCGAAGAAGAACGAGAGCGAGGTGAGGAGAATTGTCTGCCAGTCAACCGCACGGTACACACCCAGCCCCGCAACCACCAGCGTGAAAAACAGAGACACCAGGGTGGTCCAGCGAGCAGCGGAGCGCAGCAGCGACAGCAGCGGAGACACCTCCCCCTGCCCCCCCAGCAGCCGGCTCCTGTAGTGCCTCGCAGCAGCAGCGATCTTCCTCCCGATCTCCGTGTTCTTCCCCGTGCGGAACACCACACCGGACCCATACCCGCAGGTGACAATGGTGCCGGCTAAGGCGATATTGGCGCAGTCTACCGCCGTGGTGCGGCCGGTGATGATGGCCGCTGCGTCCTTGGGGCAGGGGGCCGCCTCCCACTCGCCTGAGACTGCGGACTCGTCGATCTCCAGCAGGCTGCAGTGCAGCAGCCGCACGTCTGCTGGCACCTCCTGGCGAAGGGGGAGGGCGGTGGGATGGTGGGGGAGACAAGGCGGGGGAAAGGGGGTGGGATGTTGGGGAGGAGAGGAGGATGGGGGAGAGATGGGGAGAGATGGGGAGAGATGGGGAGAGATGGGGAGGATGGGGAGAGATTGGGAGAGATGGGGAGAGATGGGGAGGATGGGGAGAGATGGGTTAGGGAGGTGGATTGCCGTGCAGCGGATGCACGTCCGATGGTGCTTCACGGGGTCGTGGGAGGGGGAAAGAGATAGCTGAGAACGGCAGGGGGGGGGAGGGGGGACAGAGTGCTGGTATGGAGATGGATAGATGGAGTTGGGAGGCTGGGAGTGGAAGGAAAAGGACTGCTGAAGCAGCATGGTATGGCAGAACCACCAAAGATGCAGCCGTGTTACACAGCTTCGCAAGCTCTCATCTCCCCTCCCTTCTCTTCTCTCTCCCCCCCCCCCAACTCCCTCCCTTCTGCCTTGTCCCATGTCATAAACCCCAAACTGCCAGTTAAAGCATTATGTTTTGTTCCGACCCCCTCAAACCCCCTCAACTCCCCTCAACCCCATTCAACCCCAATCCCCCACGCACCATGCCCGGGCGCAGCAGCACAATATCTCCCGGCACGAGCAGGCGTCGCGGCAGCGTGACGGCCACGCCATCCCTGAGCACCAGCGCGTCGTGCGGCACGGAGAGCGACGCGGACGCGAGGCCTCTGCGGCCCTGCCACTCCGCGAACGTGTCGAGCAGCAGCAGCAGCAGCGCGCCGATGACCCCCACTAGCGCCTCCGACCACTCGCACAGCGCCGTGAAGAGCACGAGCAGCAGCAGCAGCAGCAGCTGGAGGCAGGGGGGGGGTGCGGTGGGGTGCGGTGAGGTGGGGTTGGGGGTGGGAGTTTGCAGGAAGAGAGTTGATGAGAGATGATGGGACAGAAGGGGGGAAAAGGAGTGAAAGGGGCATAACCACCCAGGCCCAGTCACCGAAAAACACACCGAACGAACACATCAACGGGCATGTCAGTCGTGTGCGAGCAAGCGCGGCACTGACTCTGGTGGGCGCGTAGAGCGTGGTGACTTTTGAGTCGACTAAGAAGTCACCTCGTTACAATGTCACACAACACTTTTGAGTCGACTCAGAAGTCACCTCGTTACAACGTCACACAACACTTTTGAGTCGACTCAGAAGTCACCTCCTTACAATGTCACACGACACTTTTGAGTCGACTCAGAAGTCACCTCGTTACAATGTCACACAACACTTTTGAGTCGACTCAAGAGCAAGCGAGGCACTGACTCTGGTGGGCGTGTAGAGCGCGGGGACGAGGAAGGCGAGGAAGCGCGGCACGGGCAGCGACTCGATCTCGTTGACGCCATGGCGGGCCAGGCGCGCCTGCGCCACCTCCTTGTGCAGCCCCACGTCGCGCACCACGTGGAGCGCTCTGATTGGCCGTCGGGAGAGCAGGGACGGGAGGAGATGCAAGGCGCAATCAATTTTATTCAAATCCAAATCTCCTTCTGCTTCTGTGAGTAAATTCCACATGTGACCGTACTTGGGCTCTTCGTTCCCAGTCAAAACAGTTCAACCCATGACTGCTCTACGACGTCTCAAATCGAATCCTTTCTGCTCTCCTGCTCTTTGCCTTATCTGCACCATGTGTAGCATCTACGACAGCATCTACAGCATGTGTAGCAGCCGCGGCTCTCGCGCGTCTCACCTGCACACAGCGGCGGACGTGAGCGACCAGGGCGGCGGGTCCATGTCCTGCTGCTGCGGCCCCGCGCGCGACCTCCACTTGAATCGCGCCTTCCACGCCGCTGCGAGGGGGGAGGGATGAGGAGGAAGAGGAGAGGGGGGGGGGGGGGGGGGGGGGGGAGAAGAGGAGAGGGGGGGGGGAGAAAGACACGGGCGCGTGATAAGGTGGGGTGGTGGGTGATAAGGTGGGGTTGCGGTGGGGGGAAAAGATGGAAGAATGAGGAACCAGGGAGGGAGGGGAGGGGAAGAGGCGGTGAGGCAAAAGGGAGAGAATAAGGGAGGGCGGAGGTGATAACAATAAAGGGCATGCAGGGGACACGACGGAGAAATAATTGACGACAACGAAAGTGAAGGAAATTCCCAGCACAGACCAATCCCCACTGAAACCTCCCGTCCCCCTCCCCCCTTGGAACATATTCCTTGCGAATCCACACTCACGCGGCAGCTGCGACCACGCGACGGGCAGCATGAGAAGGTAGAGCACGAGCGCGAAGACGAGCATGCCGACGAACACGTGCGGCAGCCCAGGCACCTCCCACTCCGTCACCAGCCCCAGCACGCCGAACAGACCCACCGTCGCCGCCACTCCCAGCCCGCCTATCGTCGCCCACACGTGCGGCGGCAGCACCTGCAGGTCCGGCTGCTCCAGCGCTCGCCGCCGATCCGAGCTCCCCCGGGCACGAGGCGGCGCCATGGCGGCTCGAGGGGAAGGTGGAGCTAGTTTGGAGGCGGCACGTGGGGATCGAATCGGCGATTCGAGCGAATTAGTGCGAATTGGCCAAGGTTTAACTAGCCAGAAGGGAGATTAATTTTAGAGCTCTGCGATGACGGCCAGGAGGATATGGTGACTGTTCAGACGAAAGTTCGTGCATCCAGTCGCCGCAAAGACAGCATTCGACAGCGTCACAGGCACGACGCTGGAAACCTGGACAGTCGGATGTTCGCCTTCGCCCGCGAAACGTGGCATTGGATGCACCTACCTCCAGGTACTCTATGCTGACCCGCGACACTGCTGCTGCCTACAATTGTTATCTGTACCAAGATGATTGGTGTTCCCACAGGATTTGGAGCATATTTGTTCCAATTGAGCAGCCCCACCAAGACACCGCGCGCGCCATGTAGGCTCCCTCCCGGCGCGCGCAAGAGCAGGCGGAACATGGGACATCCACGGAGAATTTCCCCCGACAGCCCCAAGGAGTACATATGGCCTCGGTGATCTGGGATGTCAGTTGATGGCTGGATCCGGCTCGCTGATTGGCCCGATGACGGTGGGGCTTCAGGCTTTCATGAATTCCCGCTCTTGGGAACTCGCTGCAAGCTTCTCCCACGAGCTTCGTGAGGCGTCCAAATGACACAAGCGTGAAACACTTCAACGTTAACGACCATCCTGCAAAAAGCTTGAATGCAATTGGTTAAATAACGCTCAAATATTACCTCCTGTTGTCGATGGTGTCTAGCGTGGAATCTACCCGAATAAGATTTTTATGCTTAAAATCTTGCATTTTCACCGTACACATGCATGGTCTCTGATGCATCACCATACCACTTCGCCAATAGCCATGTGAACTTGCATTTCAGAAGTGAATTCACATACGTACCTTTGACGAGTGAGGGCGCATCCAAAGTGGAATTTTTGAAATTTATACCGTACAAATAACTGCAAGGTACCGAACCTATAGCAAGCTGCAGCACGCCGAGCAGCACCAGAAACCGAAAACCAGAAGGTTCACTTTGGAAGCCCCCTGAGTGTCTTCCCCCAATTGTGGCAGGGCGGCGACTGCGCACGGCATGTTCAGCAACCGTTGGCAGTCTCATTTCGGCAAAGCAACATCATTGGTTGCGGGTTGGGCATCTCTGCCCTGCGGGTGGGAAATTGGGAATGCCCAACAAAATGGAAGTTGACAGAAGGCGACGTGCGCGAAGCTGGCAAGAATCAATGCAATTTCTGTTCTTTCGCCAAGCTTACCCCATGAATCTTGGGAAACCATGGACGAGAGTGGTCCCCACGGGACAGATAACCTCGCCAAAGCCTGTTTGTTACTGTACCAGAAATTCGGGGAGAGGAGGAATCCTGGTTTTCAACCATCGTACTCCGCTCCACGCTGTGGCGTCAATTCACCGCCTGTAAACGTACAGAAACATTCTTAAACGTGCTAAAGCGTAATGTACGACGTTAAGACGTCAGGCCATGTCGTTTTTCTAACACGTGATACCTTATGCTTGGCGCGCCAGCTGAAGCAACTGTTACACCGTACTAAACCAGACACAACATTTTAGTAGCACCTTGGCACCTAGGATTTCGGTTGCTCTGTCATGCTGGCATCCACCCGAATGTTTCCCAGCCATGCTGGCTGGCTGGTTTGGTGGCTGGGATAGATTCGGACTCGGGGGGGCCAGGAGGACAGAACAGGACTTGGAAAAGCTCTCTGGACTGCAGACTGTAGATGACGAGGAAGTGGTGCTGGCACAGTACAGTGCAGCACAGTACATACAGGGCCATGTGATTTTGATGAAGTGCTGCTGGTCGTACTATGCCACGCATGTTCTGCGGTGGCTGTACAGTAGTCCGATTCTAAATCACGGAGCAGCGTTAGAGGCTGATCTAGTGACTAGAGTCTGAGTCCTTATTTCCTCACTTGCTTCCTCCTCACATAGCCCGTTTGTCGACACGTCGACGTCGCCGTTATAGGCCATCCTACCGGCTTTAGAGTAATTTTATATTCACCTTTCCTGTATTTTCTTTCCCTTTTCGAAGCTCCCAGCTACTTTGCGATGTAGCCTATCCCGAACTCAGCCTGTCGGTCTGCATTCACGTCGTACGAGCACCACGATAGCCACGTCTACCCTCCATTCGAAACCGCACAGCAGCGTTTGCTCTTCCCCAGGTGTCCTGCTCCACCTGTCCGGGTTTCCGAAACCCTAGTCTCTCCTACCATTCCTATCTCCTTCGATTCTGATCCCTTTCACCTTCTCGTACGTACCCTTTCTCCCGTTCCCATGGGGTTTCGGACACGTGGCCGCAACCCAATAATGATGGATTTCATCGACCAATCAGAGGACAGCGACGACGGCTACAGTTCCTCCTCCCCCACCATTCCCGCCTCCTCCCTCCCCTCCGGCGGAACCCTGCGCCACGCGCCCCCTCCCCTCATCGACGGCTCCGCCTGCTCCGGCTCGCTCCGCGCAACCCGGGGTGGGGGGGGATCCGGGCCCATTCAGCTCATGGAGGACCTGTCTCTGCGGGAGGGTGGCGGCGGGAAGAGGCGGATGGGGGGGTTGAGGAGCGCGGGAATGAGCGGAAATGGCGGTGGGGGGAGCCACCTGGCTGCGGGAATGCGGCTGCCCGCTCGCTATAACTCGCTGGACCCGACGGTTTCCGCGTCCCTTGATGATTGGCCGGATCACGCTGCCGCAGATTACGGCGCCGATCCCGGCTCGGAATCCGAGGCAGATTACGGCGCGCCCGGCGGCGTGGATTACGGCGGGGGCTATCCGACTGATTACAGCAGGAGCAGCAGCGGCGGGGGCGGCGGCAGCGGCGGATCGGGTGGCGCGAAACGCGGAGGAAGGGCGCGGAGCTGTCCGTACGAGCCCGGAGATCTAGTGGTGGTGCGGTGCATGAAGGCGCGGTGGTGCTTCGGAGAGGTGCTGCGCGTGTCGGAGGAGAGCGTGCGCCTGTGGGTCGACGCTGTGCGCAGCCGAGTCGACGTTCCGCTCGCCCTGGTCCCCTCGCACATCGCGCCGGATCTCGCCTCCATCCCCCCCGATGATCCCCCTGCTGCTCCTGCTGCTCCCCGCGCACATGCTGCCGCTAACTCTGCCGCCGCCGCCGCTGCGGGTGCGGCGGATTTCGGGGGCGAGCGTGGCGTCGAGAGCGCACCTGCTGCTGCGGGGTTGAGCCGGTTAAAGCCCGCCGCCACGTGCTCGCCGCCCGCCCGGAGCGCCGCCTCGCACGGGCATGCGGACAGCAGAGGGTCGTCGCCGGAATCAGCGGGGTCAGGAAGGGGGAGCGCTGGGGGAAGCGCAGGGGGAAGCGGAGGAGCGGGGAGCGTGTGCGGGGGGAGAGCTTCCCCGCTTTGTTCCGTGTCGTGTGGCGCAAGCCGCGGGGCTACGGGGCTGCAGAGGTGAGCTGGTAGGGTGAGAAGAGAGTAGAGGGGAGAAGGGAAGAGTGAGAGAGGGGGGGGAAGGGGGTAGGAGTGAAAATAGGAAAAGCAAAGCAAGTAAAGGGACCAGAAAGGAAGAGAACCAGACCACAACCTGACGAAACGGTGCCACAGCATGCGAGTTTGGTGTGAGGCGGGCTTTTGTTCCTATCCTTGCTCCTGCTGCCACCCCACCAAGACGCCACCCCACCCACTCCAACCCATTCTCACTCCTACGATGATCCCATCCCACTGCCACCGGCTCCGCCAGGCACGTCCCATCGCCCAGTGACCCGAGTGCGAGCCCCTTAGGCCCCACTGCGCACTCCAGAGGCACTGCTGCTGTCACTGCTGCTGCGGCTGCCAGTGCTGCCGCGGCCAGTGCTGCCGCGGCCAGTGCTGCCGCTGCCAGTGCTGCCGCTGCCAGAATCACTGGATTTGGTAGCTCGAGTGGAACGGACAGCAGGTGGGGCGCGGGAGAGGGGACATGCAGCACGTGCGAGCTGGCGATGGGGGATGCGGCGCTGATAGCGTGGGAGTGCGGGCACCGCTCGCACTTCGCCTGTGTGGGCGCGCGCCTCAGCAAGGGGCTGCTGGGCTGCGCCTCCTGCCTCTCCGCTAAGGTCAGTTCATAGTCACGCCACGCCACGTCATGCCACGCCCACGCCCACGCCCACGCCCACGCCACGGCTCGCCATGGCTCGTCTATTCTTCACCAACCCTATTCATCAGTTCCAGCTTTTTCTCTCACCTTCTTTTCTCTCTCGTTCCCCGTCCCCTCTCCCCTCTCCTGTCCCTGTGCTGCTAAAATTTCCAGCAATATCTGCACCAAAATCACTCTTCACGTTCGCATGTCTTGCCACCTACTCCTAAGATACTCTTCCTCTTTCCTTCCTACTCTTCCCCCTCCCCCCAAACACACTCACATTCTCGTGTCAATGAGCAGAGTGGCGTGAGGCGCTTTGAAGAGGAGGGGGAGGAGGAGGTGTGGTTCGGGTGTGTGTGCGGGCACACATGCCCCCTGGACAGCCTCCAGGAGGACCCCCTCACTCGCAGCTTCTGCTGCCCGCACTGCCAGGTGCCGTACCCTGCTCACTCTCTCTCTCTCTCTCTCTCTCTCTCTCTCTCTCTCTCTCTCTCTCTCTCTCTCTCTCTCTCTCTCTCTCTCTCTCTCCCCGGCTGCTCTCCTGCTTCTGCTCTCCCCCTCGCCTTACTCTTCCTCGGTGTCTGATTGACTTTGCTTCTCTCTCTAACGCAGTGTGCTTCTCCCCCTCTCCCCCTCCCTCCCTCCCTCCCTCCCTCCCTCCCTCCCTCCCTCTCTCTCTTCTCACCCAGTGTGTCGCTCGGTTGGCATTTAGGATCTAGGGTGCCAACTTTATACCTGCCCCCCCTCCCCATGTGCCCATCACCCATCACCAACCATGGCTGTGCATGTGTGCAGTTTGATCCCTGGGAGGTCGTTCGAGGAGACCACTCCTCCCGCCTTGCCTCGCAACCCTCGCTCCCATCCCACCACCACCACCACCACCACCACCATGACCACCCACAACCACCCCAACAAACGCAGCAACATCACCGCCACTATCAGCAGCAGCAGCAGCAGCAGCAGCAGCCGCAGCAGCAGCAGCAGCAGCAGCAGCAGCAGCAGCAGCAGCAGCAGCAGGGTGCGAATCAGGGCTCAGTCCCCCATTACCCACCCTCCCACAGTTTACCCTCCCACAGCCATCCGTCCCACAGCCTGCCATCTCGCAATTTGCACAAAATGCGAAGCCTGGGTCCCTTAGACCCGGACCTAAACAATTTTCCCCAGGCCTCGAGAACAGGCTTGGGATCTGGCGCAAGTGGGATGACCCATGGTTCGTTTGTGGAGCGGCCTAGGGCGTTTGAGTCTGCATCCCGTGACGCAGCTGCTGCTGGTGCTGCTGGTGCGTTGGACATGTACACGCGCGTGGCTACTCTAGACAGAGGCACTAGACCCCCCAGACAAACATCACTTGGTGCTGTTGCTGCTGGCGCTGGCGCTGCTGCTACCTCTGGAGCAGGGTCCATAGGAGGAGGTGGTGGAGGAGGAGGAGGAGGAGGAGGAGGAGAGGGTGGTGGGGTGCATGGCGTGATGGCAGGTATGGGCTCTGCAGGGAGGTTTGTGTCTGAGACCCTGCCTCAGTTCGTTCGCACCGTCACACTCGACAGTGCGTCCCTATCTCGCGTGCGCTCCCGCGACCTTGACCTGCCTCTCTCCTTCCCTGCAAGGCGCCTGTCAGCCGGAGCCGCGTCTGCTGGCCTCACTGCTTCTTACTCGTCCTCTGCCTCCTCCGGTCCTGCCCACAGCAACAGCAACTCTTTTGGGAGTAGCAACAGCGCCAGCAGCAGCAACAGTGGCTCTTATGCTGCATATCCTTCTGGAAATGGTTCTGGGTATTCTGTTAGTGCTAGTGCCAGTGGTGGCGGTGGTAGTGGCGGTGGTAGTGGCGGCAGTGCTGCGCTTGTTAGCAGTGGTCACATGGGCACACCAGCCATGCCCCCCCTCCGTCGCATGCTCTCTGTCTCCCCTAGTCACACTCACTCAGGACAGCCCTATCGGCCCTTCTCCCCCCCCACTGACCCCTACCCAGCATCATTCTCCACATGCTCTATCTCCACCCGAGATGCTGACTCAGCAGCCTGGAGGCAGGCAGACATGGGGAGCAGTAGTGGGTTCAGGGCCGCTACAATGGGTGCACCAGTGGGGCAAGGGCAAGGGCATGCGCCTGTGGGCAGAGTGGTGTCAGGAGAGGCTCTGCTAGTGGCCCGATCTGGCGTGGGGATGTCTCTAACTCGCACTATGTCTGCGGACTTGGGCCCTGGCGGCGCTGCAGGTTTGAGTGGTGCACGGCGCAGGGCCTTTAACTCCCCTGAGGATCTGGCCAGGGGAGGTCAACAGTCATGGAATCGCAGTCCCTCCAGTTTCCAGCAAACCCTGGGTATGGGTGAGAGGGGAGAGAGGGGGAGAGGGGAGGGTGTGCCATGGTCGGATATGGATAACAGCTCCATGGACAGATCTGCTGCTGGTGCTGCTCATGGGTGTGCTGTATGGGCGAGTAGTGGGGGGGGAGGTGGTTTTGGGGGCAGTGGTTCTGGTACCGGTGGAGGCGGCATAGGCGGCATAGGCAACAGGGCAGTGGGTCGCAGCACCAGCGAGGGGAGGGATGACACTGGAGGGCTGGTGGCATCCGCGCTTATGGCAGCCGGCACGGGGGCGCCTGGAGGTGGTGCACCACCATCGCTTACAGACGGCTACTCGGACCTGTCTGTCTCCAGTCCGTTGCCTCCCCTCCCTGGAGTGCGGCACCAGGGTAATTATGGTAATTCTGGTAATTCAGGTAATTCGGGTCATCTGGGTCATCTGGGCCAGCAGCAGCACGCGCGCCGGCGCCGCAACACACTCACTGAAGAGCTGTTGCTGGGAGGAGGAGGTGCTGGGAGTCTTGGCTCTTTTGCTGCTGAGGAGTGTGATACAGATGCAGGAGGACCAGGTGGGGGGGGAATGGGAGGGGGAGAGGGAGTGGAGATGGGAGTGGGAGGGGGGTTGCGTTGCAGTCCTTTGTTGAGGGGTGGGTTGGGTGGGCGCAAAGGAGGGGTTCTGTCTCCGGACCAGATGCGCACGGGTAGGCACGGTGAGGCTGCTGCTGCTGCTGCTGCTGGGGGGCCGTTTTCTGCGTCTCCTAGCCCTGCTGGCGGAAACACGCCTATCTCTGCGTCTCCTCTGGCTGGTAGAAGCCCCCTTGCGAGAACGAATTCCATGGACACTCTGCTGCAGCCGACCCCCCTGCAAAGGAGAGTGGCGGGTGGTGGGATGCTTGGTGGAAACAGAGGACGGGGTGTGGATGGAGGCGAGTTGGTAAGTGGTGAGGGTGGTGCTCTGTTGGGGGTTCGAGCATTCGGGGGACCGAGGAGTGTTGGGAATATCCCGATTTCTCCTGGAGGTTAAATGGGGTGATAGATACTGACCATGATGGTGTATTATTCTTCTTGGGGTAGTTGTGGACAAGGGATAAAGGGCGCTCTAGGATTGTTGGTAACGTAGTGTACGTACATGTTAGGTCCAACTAAACGACTAGTATAATTTATCCCTGGTTCGAATTCCGCCTCTAGCGCGGTTTTTTCCCGACTCCGTTTCTTTTCGTAACATCCCAGGCGTTTTTGCCGCCTCGTTTGTCCTGTCCTGTCAGCACAGCAGCTTCCCCCTCCCCTCGTTCCGCATGGCACTGGCTCGCCTCGGGAACGCCGACCTTTCCCCACACGTCACCGCGCAGCACACCCCCCCCCACCGCGCACGTCCCCAGCACGTCCCCGCGCTCGCCTTCCGCTTGTTGCACAGCGGGCTGCGCGCTGGGGTGCTTCCTTGCGCACGCTCACCCATCACATCACCGCGCCCTCTGCACGATGCTGTCGCCCTCTGCACTGCATACACGCGCATTGAGCCGAACATACCCGTGCTCCTGGCTCTTGGCATCCTAGCCTCCTTTCTTCCTTCACTTCACCTGCTTGCCGAGTTGCGGTGGTGGTTGATTTGTTTAGGGAGGGATTGGCAACGTGGGCGTGCTGTGTGTTTACCTCTGGGAATTCGGGTTTGCTTCAGGGAGTTCCCTTCAGACTGTTGTCCCGCGGAATGGACAAGCTGGAAGTCGAGGACACCTTTCTTCCAGCCGACGACTCTTTTCTACTACAAGAACGACCCATCATGGCATCCCAGCAGCAGCAGCAGCAGCAGCAGCGTCAGAGCAGCGTCGTTTTCGCGCACAACGACCATGAAACCATGCAGTTGCAGGCGCTCCCGGAGAAAATTCGCTTCGTTTCCGTCGCTTTTAACTCCTATCTTAACTCCGCCCGGGACCTACAATCGTTGCGCATCTCTAGTCCGTCGGCGGCTGCCGCTTGTCCTGCTGTCACGCAGGCGGTAGCGGAGACAGCAGAGGCTGCAGCGATCTTCAACCATGTCTTCGTCCCAGAGCTTAACTCACTCATTTTCCACCTCGCAGCGCTCTCGGACCTCTGTCTCGGTGAGCCTTATTGTAAGGGCTGGGAAACAACCGCGGAACTATTTACTGTTTTTCAGAGGGAAGTGCTGGACTCCAACCATTGGAGCTGTCTAGACAGCCGAACACCGAGAGCGTTACCTATTTGCTGTTTTCTTGCTGCTTGAATTGCTGAGCCAAGGTGCTTACCTGTACTTTCTGTGCTCTGGTCGTGCTTTTCTGTCGACGCAGCCGAGTCTGATCCCTCCCAGTCGGATATAAAGGCGTGCTTGAAGGTGCTTGAGGAGCGCGTTAAAGCTGTCTCCAGAACGAGCAAGCAGCTGTCCAGTCAGCTTACGGGCTCTGGAGGGTCAGTGGATGCAGCATCGCATCAGCTGCACGGCACTGAGATGGACACGCTCACTACCATGGTTGAGCTGCATAAGGCGAGTTGCACGTGCTAACACTGCTTACTTGACCCTTCCTCTCTCTTTGGTCTCCCCTCCCACTCTCTGAAGCCTAATAAATCTTTGTTAATTATGCAACATCCCTCCCACCTTTTCCCTTGCCTTGCCGCCTTCTCCTTGTTTAAATCCGCCACTTGCTGCAAGCAGAAGGAGCAGCGGGACTCCAAGCGCAGCTTCTGGCTTGGGGTTGGCGGGACGGCTCTCATACTGCTTGGAGCCCCGCTGCTACTGTGCGAGGCACCTGCACTCATCGCCGGTGCAGCCATCTCTGGCGCCCGTGTCGGTGCCGGCGTTGCAGCACTGGCAGGAGGTGTGTTTCCTCGTTATATATCTCTCCTCGTGATATATCTCTCCTCGTGATATATCTCTCCTCGTTATATATCTCTCCTCGTTATATATCTCTCCTCGTTATATCTCTCTCCTCGTTATATATCTCTCCTCGTTATATATCTCTCCTCGTTATTTATCTCCTCGTTATATATCTCCTCGTTATATACCTCCCCTCGTTATATATCTCTCCTCGTTATATATCTCCTCGTTATATATCTCTCCTCATTATATACCTCTCCTCGTTATATATCTCTCCTCGTTATATATCTCTCCTCGTGCCATCTTCACCTTTTATCGAAATTTCCTTTCCTCGCAGTTCGCCTCATGTCGTGCTTGCCTTGTTCCTGCCATACACTTCAATTATGTTTTCCTCCCACTTTCCCCCTCCCTCGTGCCATCTTCCCATCACCCGTATCTTGTTTCTTGCGTCGGATCCATCAGGCGGTGCGAGTGCTGGGGGCGCCAAGGTGTTCGCCAATAAGGCAGCCCAGACCCTTGCGGTCTACCAGGACAAGGGAGAGTTGCTGCAGGACGTGCAGCAGATGAAAGGGCCCACACGAACGCTCTCCGACGGCACCGGCAAGCTGGTCAAGGGCCTGGACAAGGTCGACTATGTGCTCACCATGCTCTCAGACCGGGTCTCTGACTGCCTCACGACCCCGGGGATTAACCTGAGCTCGCTGGCTCTGTTCAAGCTGCTGCAGCTGGCACAGGCGGTGGGGTCTGAGGCGTGCTACCTGCCGGCACATGAGGTGGAGGTGGATATGCTGCTGGGGGACAGAGAGGCGGCTGATGTCGTGCATGCTTGGAAGCTGGAGCAGCGGGAGGCTGAAGCGGCAGCGGCGGCTGCTGCTGCTGCAACCAAGGCTGAGGTGTGATGCTAGTGTTGAGGCTGGATGCTGCTGCTGCTGCTGGAGTTACTGGCGCTACTGGTGCTCGGTGTTGCCAAGTTGCATGGATGTTATTTAGTTTCAGCAGGTAGCATGCGGGTCAGCAGTTGTGGTTGTGGAATGGTGGTGCGTAGTTGTTTCTGTAAATATGACACACCGTTATCAATGTTGCAGTTGTTTACGAGCTGTACAGGTGGTTCATGCTTATCATGTTCAGTGTCAGCTGCTCTTTGGGTATACTAACCAAATTAGCTGAAATCTGTACAACATAACAGTACCTACACTTAATAAACTTGTTTGCGTAAACTAGTTGCTGCTCTCGCGAAATATAGATTGATAGCATATCTTCTACCTCACACATCTGGAGGTTGATGCCTATACAGGATATAACCTAAGATCCATCTCCTCAGAAGTTGACGACATACTCTCTGAATAGTGCGAGCGCCTGCACCAGCAGTGCGTGCAGCTGATCCCTCAGCAGCAACACGCTGAACCTGGCATGCAGCGTGCGTGCGATCAGTCAAAGCGGCTGGTCTCCATGAGGAAGTCCCGCATCAGTCGCGTGTTGCCCTCCTCCATTCGCTGGCAGTGCACGCATGCAGTGCAGCGGCAGGCACACATGGCAGGGCGCACCAGGCGGGGGGAAGAATCGGCAATTGGAGATAGGGTGTGGCAATGAAGCAGATCACGGGAAAGTAATAGCATAGCACGTAGATAAGTCAAGCAATTTCGATCTGAAGAAACCCACATTGGGTTCAGGTCAGGATGGCACTGCTTGCACGCCGACTAGCCCCACATCACGTCTTTCCAGAAGAACATGAAGCAAGCATTGCACCAAGGCATCGAGCATTTGTTCCATTATAACATCGAGTTATAACATCACGTCTTGCCAGCGCGCATACCTGGAATGACACGGCTCGGAGGTTGTCCCATTCGAAATCCTCCAGTGCATAGGCTTGGCGAACCTGCCGCGCAGAACCAGGGGGAGGAGGAGCCGCAGCACGCAAGGAAGAAACAGATGGCAGGCGCACGGCACTTCCCTCTTCAGCATCACGCGCGTTGCTCTTATCTGCCATCTCAACGGCCATTTATCTGCCAGTAACTGATGCACAGAAGCGCAACAATCTATCCAACATCCAACTTCACCCGTCGGCAGCATACCTCGAGAATCCTCATGGCTGGCGGCGGCCGAGCCGCATGCAATGGAGGACCAAAGCGAGGAGATTCATCCATAAACCCATGGGAAGCATGCAGCGGCGGGTCCCGAGTGAGGGAGGGAGGGGGACAGGAGACAGGGAGGGAAACAAGGGGCGAGGGAAAGAGACGAGGGGCCAACATGATGAGTGTGAGGACCATGGACGCAGCGACTCACGCCATTCGTTGTTCGGTCAGTGAGGAATCACGAGAGGGTAAAGTAGAGGGGCTGTGAGGCAGGCAAGCTCGCTCGGAGCGAGCATCAGAAAATGGACTCCTCTGGGAAGTTTATTCTTGTTCTGTGCTGGCAGGGTGTTACGACTTGTCCCCGATGATCGTCCCACAGTAGGTAGCACGCGGACCTCTCTCCATGGCCATCCATCCCCCTATCGCCTCTCGCCGTGCTGCTTCTGCCGTGCTGCTCCTACCTCTCGCCTTTACTTTCGTCTACCGTCCTTCCCATGGCTCCCCCCACTCGTCCCGCTTCCTCTGCCTCCTGCCGTGCCGCTTCTGCCGTGCTGCTGGTGCTCGTGCCTCTACGCGGGCCCCTATGCATACGATAATAATCTACTTTCGAGGCGTCGCAAAATTAAGTTACTAACACACGGATCTGCCGTGCTGCTGCTTGTGCTCGTGCCTCTGAGCGGGCCCCTATCCATCTTTACCGAGCTGCTTGTGCCGCGGGCTCTCGCGCATGAGCGCGGCGCAGAACTGGTCGCCGTCCTTAAGAGGCACGCGGTCCGTGAACTCCTTAAGCTCCGCATACCCCTCGCGGTTGTACGCCTGGGAGATGGGGGGATGGCGGGAGGGAGCGAGAGCGGGAGGACGGGCGAGGAGAGAAAGGAGAAGCGAACGGGTGAGCGACTGAGAAGGTACGAGGAATGAGCGTTCGGGCGATATTGAGGCAGGAGCTTCAAAGTGCCGCGCATCACGGCACATGCAGAATATTCGGCGTAGGATTCGGACATGCAGCTTGTTGGAGTTTGGTGGGGAATTTGGTAGTCCCCACTCCACACCCCTCTCGGCTAGAATTGGGGTGGTTGCAAAACGGGGATGCATTAGCCGGGTTGGGCTTTGCGGAAGTTGCGGCAAAAACAGTTGCTCGGCCCAGATATAAATTTGGGCCGAGTTACGTGGGTTGCGTACAAAGCCGAGTTATGTTCTCAAATCTTCACCTCTCTTGGTGATTTTTGGTGATTTTTATATCACGGGACGTGTTCAGGGTGGCGATCCAAAGGACCTGGTTCGTCTAACACAGCTCACAGAAATACTGGGAGTATCAGGTCCCGAGAGTTTCTAAACCCGCCGAATCACATGCCATCTGCTTCGCTACCCTCCCCCAACACACTCCCCCCCCCCCTCCCCTCTCCCACACACCCGTGCTTCGCGAGAGTTCTCGAGATGTCTTTCCCCGCACCTGCAGCTGCGAGAGCACGATGCGCACGGCGATGTAGGTGAAGAAGTTGTGCAGCGACGCCGCGGACTTGGCCTCGGGAGACTCGCCGAACCCTGCCGCCCACACCGGCACACGAGACGAGCGCGCCGGACACAGAGGGACAGACAAACGGGCGAGGTGAGGTGAAGTGGGGTGAAGTGAGGTGAAGTGAAGTGAGGTGAAGTGAGGTGAAGTGAGGTGAAGTGAGGTGAAGTGAAGTGAGGTGAGCGGCGACGGAGCAGCTGAAGGGGGGGATGTATGAAAGAGAGGGGTTGCAGTCGTGGTTCGCGAATGAGAGGAGGAGCGATGCGGGAGGCGTGAAGCTCCCGCCGGTGGGATTACTAACAGACTTAAAATTGACATGGCAACGAATTTGAGTGGGACTTTTTAGGCCAGCAGCAACAGCATGCGTCAAATGCGTCGGTTGCGTCGGATGCGTGGGATACGTAGGATGGGTCGGATGCGTTGGATGCGTCGGATGCGCACCTGGGATGACCATCTTGCTGGTGACACGTTGTGACGCCGGCACGCGACGGCGGCTGCACGAGCTGCTTCTTCCCCGATGGCCCGCCGACAGGAGTCGCAATGTGCTCCTATCGGCCAAGCTGCCACATGCGCTCGCGAATTGGACAGTCGCGAGCGCGCGCCCTCCCGTCACGTGCGCAACCGCGGCCATTCGGCGGGTTGGATGTGTTTAGCTTCTAGGGGATTATTAAGAGCCTGTCTCTACGGCACGCTGGTGTAAGGGACCGAACGTAGTGGCTGTGTGAACAGAACGTGGTAGCCGGCAGGAGGTAAGCTAGCAACAAGCCCTAATCCGTGTCTGAGATCTTCACTCTCTATACCTCTGTTCTGCCTCACTGTAAGCGCCGTATTCTCTAGGGGGCAGGGCATGGAACAATGCACAGAATCTGACTCACAATGCTTGCTTCGCCTGCCTTGCGTCACAGTAAAAATGCGCTGAACAGTTTCTAGACCGTGGCTGCGGGTGCATTCAGAAACTGAAATGCCTGTAGGTTGGTTGCTGCTGGTGGAGAAGCAGAAACATTTTGACTAGAGCTGCCGAAGTGAAGAGAGGTGAAGGTAGAGTGGTTTGGTGGAATGGGGTGCGTTGGGGTGGGTTGGAGTGAGGTGGACCTGGAATTGGTTGCAGCTGGGTCGAGGTGCAGGGCCTGCAAAAGTGCCGAAAAGGTGGATACACACCCCACCGCGATTCGTGATTCGCGACTCCGTCTAGATTTATTTTTGCTTCCGCCAATAAGCTAAGCTTTCGTTCAAAGCTTACGATATTTTCCCACAATGGCTGACCAATAAAAAGTGCGAGGAGATCAATGTTCGAGAACCAAAGGGGCAAGGAATGACGTTTTGCCACCTAGTTTCGAAGATGCGTGAACCAATACGAAATGGCGGATGGAAGTTGTGTCAGCATGGGAGTTGTTGGCTGGATCGATGCAATGCCAGCACATTGTAGGCCACATTCGTTCTGACCTGAATCAGGGTGACTAGGCAGTTGGCCATGTAAGTACTCATGCAGAGAGTGACTCATTTCCAAGAAAAATGCTACAACTATTATGTTAGTGCTGATGACATATATCTTACCCCTCTATTTCGCTTTCGCTACAGTCACCCATCTCTAAAGCACTTGTCATACAGGCAAATTGCACGGGGAACCCCACGCATCCCGGGGACCCCCATCCGTCCACATCTGCCCTCCCGCACAAGCTATTTCCGCCAACCCCCCTCAACCCCTCCCCAACCCCGCATCCCGCATCCCCATTCCGCGTCCCCTCCCCACCATGTCCCCCCCCATCCCCACCGCGTCTCCCCCACATCCCTCCCTCCCTGGTTCCCTCCCTCTCTGCCTCTAACCCCAGCCTCCTCTATCCCCTTCTCCCTCTTTTCACTACGTCTTTTCTTCCCCTCCCCTTCCCCTCACCGAGTTAGCCGCCATGGTTTCCGGCAGCGGAGTTATCAAACAGGTGGTCGTGGTGGACGCGCGCCACCACATGCTGGGCCGCCTCGCGTCGATCGTCGCCAAGGAGCTTCTGAACGGACAACATGTGGTAAGCGGCGAAGCGTCGCTAGAATCAGGGTTTGGCGAAGGCTCATTTTTAGGGTTTCCAATCGACAGGCGAGATTTTTAGAAGCATCAAAGACCTGTTACGGTATGACCTCCAGGCGGCTGGCCGATTCGTTATCGCGCTAATAGGCATGGGGTGACCTAAAGTTTCTGCTGTCGAGACTTCGGACAGCGAAATGTCACCTAAAATTTCTGGCAGCCATGACGATCCGCAGAATCATGGTTTCTCGGTTGATTATCCCCAGTGCTTCACGACAGAGTGTAATGCTAGCCCGTTTCCAGTTCTGATGCTCACCTTAAACCCTACTTTCGCGTTCATACATTAGCCTCTTCCGGCTAACCGCTTGGACACGTTGCGAAAGAGTCCGATGGTTAATCAGTTAACGGCCCGGGAGTCCGACGACTAGCGTAATGATCGGCCTCTTCTTGACTGCTTCGGCTATCCCGGAGAAGCTATGTTCAAGACGTCTCAAGCATCGGTACTAGTTACCGTCCTTTAATTAGCCACTTTATCGACTCGATTGGTGTTCATGGTGCGCTCTTGATGTTTCCGATCCATGGGCGCCGGGCCGCGGTGCCATTTCTCTGACGCTGTCATTCCCTGCGGGGAATGGTGCTGCCGGGTGTCTCTTGTATCGGATGCTTCGGTTCGTTGTTTCGGGCCCTGCCAGCTCCACGTCCTCGTTTTCTTATCCCTGACGTCGCCCCACTCTGACCCTCCCCCATAGATTTCGCCCCGCTTTGGTGACGAAATTTCACTTTCCCTTCCATTCCAGGAATCCCCCACGATTTTTCGATCCCCTCTTTTGTGTCGATATTTCACCCACCTCATCACCATCTGTTACTTAACCTAAGTGACTAAGTCGCCCTCGCACCTTTCTTTTCTCCGACCCCCTTTCAAATATCCCCGCACTTACCCACTTAGTCCACTACTGTCGCTTCCCTGTCCCAACCCTGCGCTCATGCCTTCCCCCTCTTCCCCGTTCCCGCCCATTTTCCCCGCACCCCTTCCATCCTCCACTCGTCGGCGCGCCCGTGGCCGCAGGTGGTGGTGCGGTGCGAGGACATCTGCCTGTCGGGCGGGCTGGTCCGCCAGAAGATGAAGTACCTCCGCTTCCTCCGCAAGCGCATGAACACCAAGCCCTCCAAGGGGCCCTTCCACTTCCGCGCGCCCTCCAAGATCCTCTGGCGCACTATCCGCGGGTAAGGGGCAGGTGGGGGAGGGAGAGGGGGGGCGGGGGACGTGGTGCGGGTAATGGAGAACGAAGAACCGCGGAAGGAGACGGGATGGGCGTGGAAGGGTTGGCGCTTAGGAGGGAGGAGGAGGACAAGCGGGAGGGAGGATGGAAGAGGGAAGAGGGTGGAGGGTGGGGGAAGAATGTGAACATGGCGGGTTATATGCACCCTGTTAACGGATGGCTTGGAGGGCATGGCTCTAGATGCACCCATGCACGAGTGCCGGTTTGCATGGCCAGTGATTGAAAATCCACAAATCATGCCCCACAACCCCCACATGTGATCAGTTCCCTCACCCCTGACCGCCCTTGTTTCTCAATTATCCTCACCCTCTCATTTTTACAATCTCCCCGTCCAATCCCAAGCCCTGTTGTGTGTTAACCTCCTCTCGGTGCCTCTCGTTGCGTGGCTGCAGCATGATCCCCCACAAGATTCCGCGTGGAGCAGCAGCGCTGGACCGCCTCAAGGCGTTTGAGGGCATTCCTGCGCCCTATGACAAGATGAAGCGACTCGTCATCCCCGATGCGCTCAAGTCAGCTCTCTGCCACATACCCGCTCCCCCCACTCCCCCCGCTCCCCCCGCACCCCCCGCTCCCTCCGCCCCCCCCCCGCTCACTCCACTCTCTCCATTTCCTCTGCTCATTCACGCCCTCATTCCACCTGCAATCCTGATTTCTGTCTCCCCCAATTCTTCTCCTTGCCCATAAATTCTCACCCGTATGCGCCCTTGGTCATCGCTCTCTTGCTTCGTCCAAGGGAACACCATCCCCACATCGCTGTGCGCTTCCTTTCCGGTGCGTTGGTGTGTGCAGGGTGCTGCGGTTGAAGCCCGGCCACAAGTACTGTCTGCTGGGCCACCTCTCGCATGAAGTTGGCTGGCACTACTGGGACGTTGTCAAGGTGCGCTGTCCTGCTGCTGTATACTACCGACTACTACTCAGCTCTTTTATCAAGTGTCGGGAGTACCAGACGTTGCCAGCTGACCCCCTCCTGTGCTGCTCAAGCTCATGCGTTGCGTTGTGTTACCCTGCTCCCTGTGTCTGTTCGCTTTGTGTTGTGTGTGGTCCTGGTTGGCAGGAGCTGGAGGCGAAGCGCAAGGCGGACGCTGCAGAGTATTACAAGGAGAAGAAGGTGGCAAGCAAGGCCCGCAGCCAGGCTGAGAAGAGTGTGCTGGCAGCTGATGCTGCCCTCACTGCCACTCTGGCTGAGGTCAGCTACAAGCCTGTGGCATCTGCGTAATCTGGCTTGGTGTCCGTTGCAACCCGAGTTGAAATCAAAGTTTGTTGGCCTAAAGAACCATCACTACGACAATGGATTCCGGAAATTCATGTCAGCTGTGTAAGAAATTTAGAAGTGCAGGAGACAAAGTATATGGAGATACAAGTACTTGTAGTAGAAAGTAATACTGGGAGTACCTCCAGTAACAGCCAGTAATAACAAGATGCACCAGAGTCGGTCTTATAGTCTTGTGATGAAGACTTGAGCAAGGATCTTTGCTGGAATGGTAGACTAGTGAGACAGAGGAAGTCTTAGGATTAGAACTTGAAGGAAAGTGTTGACCAGAATTTACTCAAGAACAAGTTAACAATTGAAGCCATACAAGGTACTCTAAGAGCGTGTTCCTATGAGCCTCTTCCCAGGCAACCTCATCCCAGACTCACGCGCGACCTTGAGAGCACGTTCCCGAGACCATTTTTCGGAATACCGTATTCCCCCGGATAAAACTGTCAACTTATACATATTATCTATGTAGAAGTTATAGGCTAGACTGAGGTATGCTTCTAGTGAGTACAACCAACTAGTATTTGTTCTAGGTTTCCACCTCTAGTAATCATTCGTTTCTACGTTAACATGGTATCACGCTTAGGTTAGGATCCCCCCGCCTACCGCTTTCGCCCGTCGCGCCTCCTAGGCCCCGTCGCGCCCCCTAGGCCCCGTCGCGCCCCCCCTGGGCCCCGTCGCGCTCGTTAGGCCCCGTCGCGCCCCCCCTGGGCCCCGTCGTGCCCGCCGGGCCCCGTCGCGCCTCCTAGGCCCCGTCGCGCTCCCCCTGGGCCCCGTCGCGCCCGCTGGGCCCCGTCGCGACCCCTAGGCCCTAACGCGCCCCCGCTGGGCCCCGTTGCGCCTCCTAGGCCCCGTCGCGCCCCCCATGGGCCCCGTCGAGCCCGCTGAGCCCCGTCGTGCCTCCTAGGCATCGTCGCGCCTCCTAAGCCCCGTCGCGTCCCCCCCCCTCTGGGCCCCGTCGCGCCCGTTCGGCCCCGTCGCGCCCCTCCTAGGCCCTGTCGTGCCCGCTGGGCCCCGTCGCGCCTCCTACGCCCCGTCGCGCCCCCTCTGGGCACCGTCGCGCCCGCTGGGCCCTGTCGCGCCTCCTAGGTCCCGTCGCGCCCGCTGGGCCCCTTCGCGCTTCCTAGGCCCCGTCGCGCCTGCTAGGCCCCGTCGCGCCCCCCCTGGGCCCCGTCGCGCCCGTTAGGCCCCGTCGCGGCCCCCCTGGGCCCCGTCGTGCCCGCTGGTCCCCGTCGCGCCTCCTCGGCCCCGTCGCGCCCCCCCTTGGCCCCGTCGTGCCCGCTGGGCCCCGTCGCGCCCCTTAGGCCTCGTCGCGCCCGCTGGCCCCTGTCGCGCCTGCTGTTAGCGCTCGCCTGCCTGGCCTCCTAGTGCCGCTCGGCCTCCTCCTAGTGCCGCCCGGCCTCCTCCTAGTGCCGCCCGGCCCCTTCCTAGCGCCACCCGGCCTCTCCTCAGCGCTGCCCGGCCCCTCCTCGTGCCCGACCGGCCCCAGCAGCACCAGCCTGGCCCCTCCCAGCACCAGCCCGGCCCCAGAGCACCTGCCCGCCTCCCCTGCTCGGCCTGCCGTGTCCTCTCGGGCCCTGTGTCTTCTGCTCGCCTGCGCTGGGACGCCTAGCTGCTGCCCTACTGGAGAGTGCTGCCGCCGTGTCCCCGCGCCGCTGTGCTCCTGTGCCGCTGAGGAGCTGTGCTGCTGTGCCGCTGTGTCGCTGAGGAGCTGTGCCGCTGACCCTGCACGATGGCTGACTTTGTGCTCCGCCTGGACGCTGAGGGCCAAGCGGTTGACTTCGCCGCCTGGCTCTCCGATCTCCGCCGCCAGCTTACAGGTCAGCGCCAGGATGGCCACTCTCTGGTTGTCCATTCTGATGGCTTGCTCCCCCGTCCCCCTGCACCTACTCCCCTCCCTGCTGACCCCTCCTCTGATGACCGTGAGGCTTTCTCTACTGCTGCGCTGGCCTGTGCGGTCTGGGACTCACGCGATGCAGTAGCTCAGGTTGCTATTAGTCACGCCCTCCCTGTGTCTGAGCGCTCGCGTTTTGCTACTGTTGAAACGGCCAAAGCTTATTTAGACGCCGTTATTGCTCGCTATTCCACCCCTGCCTCCGCTTCTGCTGGCCGCTTGCTCTTTCCGATGCTGTTCCCAGACCTGGCTGCCTTCCCTACTGTCGCAGACTTTGCCACTCATTTGCGTGCCCTAGAGACTCGCTATCGCACTGCCAGCACTGCTGCCCAGCTCACTGCGCTCCCCCCTCCTTTCTGCATGACGCTCTATTTTATCGCTATGCGCCTGCCAGACCGCCTCGCTAGTGCTCGCGACCACTTTCTTAGCCAGCACCCGGGTGACCTCACCCTGACCGCCTTTGTCGACACCCTCACTGAGATCGAGACTCGCCAGCGCACTATCGCTCAGTCGAGCGGTGCGCCGGCAGTCTCTATCTTTCACGGCTGTGCCCCATCCCAGTGCACGTTCACTGACATTTCGGCTGCGGTCGCCACGGCGACCCCTCTTACCGAGACGGCTGCTGCTGTCCACCCGCAGCAGCGCTCGCGTCGCGGTGGCCGTGGCCGCCAGGGAGGTAGGGGTGGTGACGCAGGTGGTAGTGGTCGTGGTGGTGGTGACGGTAGTCCGCCTGAGGGGACTACCACCGGTGGGCAGGAGCAGCAGCCCCAGCAGCAGCAGGACCAGCCCCAGCCGCAGCCGCCGTCCCAGCAGCACCCGCCGCAGCCGTGGGCTCGTCTCCCGCCTGGTTGGCCCGGCACCTCCGGAGGCGGTGGCCGTGGTGGCGGCCCGCGCAGCTTGGCGTCTACCAGCGGCTCCAGTGCTGTGACCTGCCAGTACCAGCTTCAGACTGGGCCTCTCCGCGGCACTCTGTGCCGCCGCCCGCACCCGACCGCCCGCTGTTTCCGCCGCCTCGACGATCTTTTTCGTCGTCGCTTTGGCCCGGCCCCGGACCTCCCTGACTGGCACAGCCTACTCCGCCAGGGGGTGCCGATCTTTGAGTTAGACATAGATCAGATAGGTGCTGCTTTGCATGCTTTGTATGCTGACGCTTCTAGTGTTGCTGGATCTTACTATCCTGTGTACTCTAGTTTAGGTGTTTCACCCTTGTGTAGCTTAGCTTCCCCTGCTGCGACAGGCGTAGGACTGCCTAGGTTGCCTAGTCTAGTCGCTGCACTGGCTCCGTCCCCGGCCTCCGCCACTGCGTCGCTGTCCTTCACTCTCGACTCTGGTGCTTCTGCCTGCTTCTTCCGCGACCGTTCCACGCTCACGCCGCTTGCTGCACTTGCTGTTGTCTCTCTCGCTGACCCCTCTGCGGGTCCGGTCGTCGCGCGCAGTTCTACGTCCCTTCCTTGTCCGGCAGTTCCCTCGGGCTCCCTTACTGGCCTCCACGTTCCCTCGTTCTCCAGGAACCTGGTTGGTGTCGGCTGTCTCCAGGACCTCGGCGTCACCACCACGTTCCCCGGGCACGAGCGGTTCGCTGTCTGTTCTGAGGCTGTCTCAGGTTCCCCCCTTGCGACGTTCCCCCGGGACCCGGTGTCCGGTCTGTTTACCCTACACACCGCTTCCCCCCCGGTTGGTGCGTCCTCCCAGGTCGCTGCAGCTTGCTCGTGTCGGTCCCTCACTCACCCCTCCCTTCTCTGGCACCACCGCTTAGGTCACCCTGCTCTCCCGCGTCTGCGTCACATGTCCCAGCACGGTCTTGTCTTAGGTCTCCCCGCGTCGGCTCCCTGCCCTTCCTCCCTCGACTGCGCCACCGTGCACGCCTTGCGTCGAGGGTCGGCTCCGCCGTGCTCCTCACTCCTCCTCGCTGCGTCCTGCTACTGCCCCCCTTCAGACCCTGCACTTGGACGTTTGGGGCCCTGCCCCCGTCCCCGGACCGCGCGGTGAGCGCTACTTCCTTGTGCTTGTCGACGACTACACGCGCTACACCACGGTGTTTCCCCTGGAGCGGAAGGCCGACGTGCCCGACGTTCTTCTCCCGTGGGTTGTGGCTGCGCATCTCCACCGCGGTCTCCCCGTGTTGTGTCTCCACTCCGACCGTGGCGGCGAGTTCGCCTCTGGTCGGCTTGGACAGTTCTGTCGTGCGGAGGGCATCACCCAGTCGTACACGTTGCCGGACTCGCCACAGCAGAATGGGGTTGCTGAGCGCCGCATCGGCTTGGTCATGGAGGTCGCCCGTACCTCCATGATCCATGCCGATGCCCCCCATTTTCTGTGGCCGTTCGCCGTTCGCTACGCGGCTCACCAGCTTAACCTGTGGCCACGCTCCCAGCGGCCGCAGGTTTCGCCGACCCTCCTTTGGACCGGGTCCCCCGGTGACGCGTCTGCGTTCCACGTCTGGGGCTGCCTTGCTCACGTTCGTGCCTCTGGCACGGACAAGCTCACTGCCCGCACTGTCCCCTGTGTCTTCCTCGGTTTCCCCCTGGACTCGTCTGACTGGCTTTTCTACCACCCGCCGTCTCACCGCTTCCTCCACTCTCGTGACGTCACCTTTGACGAGTCCGTCTCCTTCTACCGCCGCTTCCCTCACCGAGGTCTCCCAGTTGCCCCCCCCCTTTTCCTTGCTCCCTCTCCCCCCGGCAGCCCCTGCCCCTTTCCCGCCTCGTCCTGCCCCGTCTGGTGTCTCCCACGTCACTCCCCTCCCGTCGGTTGTCCCCGTTGAGGAGTCTGCTGACTCTGGTGGTACCCCCGGTCCGTCCTTGCCGCGTCCCCCTTCCCCGGTGCCTCCGCCCCCACTGTCGCAGTCGCCGACCCGCTGCCGCCGCCGTCGCCGTCGCCGCCGCAGCCGTCGCCGCTGTCGTCGCCGCCGCCGCCGCTGTCGCTGCCCGCAGCCGTCGCCGCTGTCGCCGCCACCGCAGCCCGTTGCCGCCACTGCCGCCGCTGCTCTCGGGCCCTGGGGTGCTGGTGTGGAGGAGGGTGTTCGTCCTGCGGCTTCTGGGGTGCCGCTGGTGTTGGAGGGGGTTCTCGCTCTTGGGGTGTTGGTTCTGGGGGTGCTGCTGTTGAGTGTTCTGCCGACGGTCGTTCTGCCTCTGCTGGTCCGAGAGTTCCGGCCCAGCCGTCGTCGCCGCCGCAGCAGCCGTCGCCGCCGGTTTCCGCTCTCCGCCTGCTCGGCCTTCCCTCCCCGGACCGCGCGCCGGTGTCTCCCCCACCGCCTCCTGACCTTCCTGTCTACGGTCCTGTGTTCCCGCCGCCAGACTCGTCTCCGGCCCGTCTTCCTCCTCGTTCCCCTCCTGTGTCTCCTCCGCTGTCCCCTGACCCTACCCCTCCATCTCACGTTTGGGCTCGCCGTCCCTCCCGTGCTCGTCCCTTCTCTCCTATCCTGCCCACCCACCCTATGTTGCTCCGTTCCCACTCGTCTCGTCCTCCCTCCTCCCGTCCCCTCCTCCCTCGTCCCTTGCTGTTGCACCTCCTCCGTTCTCTGACTACCTCCGTGCTGCTCGTCCCCTTGTCCCTCGGGTCCTTGCCTCTCTTGTTACCGACCCTGCTGTTCCTGTCTCGCGCCTTGACGCGCTTGTCGCTGCTGTCGCTGACTTCGCTTCTACCCGCCGCCTTGACTACGCTACCGCTCTGGTCTCTGACCCTGCCCGTCCTCTGTCCGTCGGGGGTGCTCCTGCCCTTGGCAGTGACGTCATAGAGGACAGGCAGTACGAGCTGGCTTTCCTTTCCGAGGCTGCTCCCCATCTCTGCTCCATGCTATTAGTCCCTGAGGGTGACCCAGACGCCTTCGACATCCCGACCCCTCGCACCTACGCTGAGGCCACCTCGGGACCTTGGGCCTCTCAAGTGGATAGCTGCCATGGAGCAGGAGATGGCATCTTGGAGATCCACCGGCACTTACGTCGACGCAGTTCCCCCACCTGGGGTGAACGTAGTCGATGGTCGGTGGCTCTTCAAGGTGAAGCGCCCCCCTGGAGAGCCGCCTGTCTTCAAGGCGCGCTACGTGGCCAGAGGTTTCAGTCAGCGCGAGGGGGTTGACTTCTTCCAGACCTTCGCCCCGACCCCGAAGATGACCACTCTTCGGGCGCTGCTACACGTAGCAGCACAGCGTGACTACGAGCTTCACTCCCTCGACTTCTCTACTGCCTTTCTTCAGGGCAGCCTACACGAGCAGGTCTACCTGCGCCGACCACAGGGCTTCACTGGTACCTTCCCTCCTGGGACCCAGTGGCTTCTCAGGCGCCCGGTCTACGGCCTGCGTCAGGCTCCTCGCGAGTGGCACGACACGCTACGTGCCACGTTAGCAGACCTGCAGTTCTTTCCGTCCTCTGCTGACCCTTCACTGTTTGTGCGTTCCGGCCAGACTCCGTTCTACATCCTTGTCTACGTAGACGACCTGGTCTTCGCTACTCCTGACAGGGACGCACTGGTCCTCTGTGAAGGCTGAGCTGCTGAAGAGACACACCTGCACTGACCTTGGAGAGCTGCGTGCTATCTTGGCCTGCAGATCTCTAGGGACAGAGCAGCACGCACCATCACTCTGACCCAGTCACACTTGGTGCGTCAGGTCCTTCAGAGGTTCGGTCTTCAGTTCTCCTCCGCACAGCCCACACCTCTACCCGTAGACCATGGGCTCTCTGCTCCCGTTCCTGAGGAGCCAGTAGAGCCCAGTGGCCCCTACGCAGAGCTGGTGGGTTGCCTCATGTACCTGATGACTTGCACTCGCCCAGATCTCGCATACCCTCTCAGCATCCTGGCTCGCTTTGTGGCTACAGGCAGACACCGACCTCAGCACTGGTCGCCGCTAAGAGGGTTTTGCGTTATCTTGCTAGTACATCAGGCATGGGGTTAGTGCTAGGAGGACGCAGGCCAGTGGTCCTTACTGGGCACACAGACGCTTCTTGGGCAGACGACGCTGAGACGCTCAGGTCGTCGCAGGGCTACTGTTTCAGCCTTGGTTCGGGTGCTATCTCTTGGAGATCCACTCGCTCGTCGTCTGTGGCTCAGTCCAGCTGTGAGGCTGAGATCTACGCTGGTGCCATGGCGGCACAGGAGCTCCGCTGGCTGACCTTCTTGCTCACAGACTTAGGTGAGCGGCCTAGCTCTGCCCCGGTCCTGTACGCTGACAACAGGGCCATGATACTCCTGTGTCAGGAGCCCTCGACTTGAGGGCAGGAGCGAAGCATATCCAGCTGCGGTACTTCCTCCTGCGCGAGCTACAGCAGCGTCGCCAGGCCCGCGTAGTTCACTTGGCCTCAGGTGCCAACACAGCTGATATCTTTACTAAGGCGCTTGCGCCTAAAGATCATCAGCGGCACTGTGTACAGCTTGGTCTTGTTCCTGTAGCTGCTCCCTGTTAGGATCCTGATTGTGTACTCTCTATTATATATGCTTGTCAGACTGGCCTTGTGGCCTTACTCCAGTGGCTGGACTAGTAGTGCCACCCTGGCTTGCTTCAGTTTTGGTTGTATCTTGCTGACTGGTCTCTAGACCCCTGCCTCAGTGGTTGGACTAGTAGTGCCGCCCTGAGCTGTTGCTTCTTGTTTAGTTTCACCCCTTGTCTAGCCTAGGGGTGTGTCAAATTATACATATTATCTATGTAGAAGTTATAGGCTAGACTGAGGTATGCTTCTAGTGAGTACAACCAACTAGTATTTGTTCTAGGTTTCCACATCGCCGTACACAGGCCAAACGCGTATTCCCCCCCCCCCCCCGGCTAATTGCCAGTGTTGTATAAATCGTATTACACGACTGGATATTGCCGATATTGCCTTAAAACATTTCTCGTACTGTTGTGCCTTCTTTGTTTAGTTACGAATCAAATTCGGGGTTGGATGTAAAGTAGTACTGTATTGTATGTGACGGATGCTGGTTTCAGTTTTATAGGGGTCGATTTTTACCGGAGGACGAGATTTCGTCCGCGTGGTTGCATCCGGACAGTTTAGGCCAAGCAGCGTAGTAGATCTATTTCCTAACCTCGCTATTTCTTCTTACTTGCCCTCGCGACTATCGAGTAGTCAGGAGATAGGCTAGGACCGCTGCGATGATTAGGCCGTCATGAAACCGTTAGATGAGGCGCTCTACGCATAGATCATTCCCTTGTTGCGGAGGGGGTAGAGCAATCGTTGAATCGCTAACAGCTAGCCATAGGGAAGAGTTCGGCCCATCAAGGCGATTGTAGAGTCTAGCCGCGATGACGTGCGTCCTACGATGCCCTCAGCCGGTCGCCCTCGCTTAGTGACAGAGAGAGTTCGCCGCGGCATAGTTCGGTCGATTACCCTCGAGGAGGCAGAATCTCCGGCTCACGTGGCGAAAATCGTTGAGAAGCAGCACGGCATCATGTTGCATCCTAAGACATTGCGTAACGCTTTGAATGGGAGCCGACTTGTCGCAATCAAGCATCCCAAGAAAGCCGCGACACTCTCGGAAAAACATACGCGATAGGCTGGAATGGCGCGTGCCCACGCAGACTGGACGGTTGACGACTAGAAGCGAGTCATCTGTGCGGATGAGACCAAGATTGATCGTCTTGCATCCGACTGACTCTCATACGCCTGCGTTCACGAAGGGACTGCCCTCCAAAGACACCAAATCAAGCAGACCGTCAAACACGGGGGCGGTTGCTTCATAATTTACGACCGGCATGTCGTAAAAGGGAGTGGGTTTCATGAGCAAAACATATGGTAGGGTGGACGGACTGCTCTCGCTGAGTATACTGCAGGACGATCTCAACAGTACGATTGAGCTTTACCAGCTTACACCCTCAAAAACTATCTTCCAGCATGACAACGACCCGAAGCACAAGTCGCGTATCGTACAGGAGTGGCTTTGAGAGTAAGATTCAGGGGTGCTAGAGTGGCCGTCTTCCTCACCCGACCTCAACCCAATGGAGCATTTATGGGCTCATCTCAAGAGGCAGCTGGCCAAGCCATATAAGCCTCCCACTGGTATGCTGGACGTTTGGGAGCGGGTGCAGGAGAAATGGGAGAAGATCCCGGCAGATGTGTGCACCCACCTGGTGGAAAGCATGCCCAGGAGGGTGAGGCGGTGTCTAAGGCAAAAGGGCGGTGGATTAGGTACTAGTTTGGGGTTGATGTAACTTGCTGCTTGCGCCTGGCAATAATTGTCCACATGTACCAAGATTGTTATTTTCTAGTATTTGTTGTAAACATCATTATACTTGTATGATGTAAGGCATGGGCGTGGAGCCTTACCCCAACCTACATACACTAGGCACACCAGAAAATTAAGGCTTAATGTCCATGACCCTCTAAAATGGCAAAATTCCTCTAAGTCACAAACATGTGGACAATACTTTCCGTCGCTGTAAGCATTTCTGTAAGTAGTCTCGATAGATGTTGTCGAGTACACTGTAGTTTGCATCCCGTAGAATGACGTCAGCAAATAGCGATCGTCTGGATGATTACGTCAGCAAGACGTTTCAGTCACACGAACAGTCACGCTCTTTTTCAGTAGCGATTAGAGCGCATAGCGCAAATAGCTCGAACAGGTACATCACCGAATAGGTACTTCTAGCAGATATAAAATTAGCTTGTACAACTTCAATAGTCAACTTGTTCTTCAGTAAATTCTGGTCAACACTTACTAGTCTACCATTCCAGCAAATATCCTTGGTTAAGTCTTGAAGTATCGCAAGGCAGTAAGACTGACTCTGGTGTTACAACTTCTTAATACTGGCTGTTACTGGAGGTACTTCCAGTATTACTTTCTACTTCAAATACTTGTGTCTGCAGATTCTATACTTAGTCTCCTGCACCACCTTTCAAATTCTTTCATTGTATGAGAGCTGTCTGGAATTAAGACTCTTGTCAATTTGAATATCGTCAATTTTACCAAATGACTGGACCATCGTTAGTCCCATCATCTGGTTCCTCAACAACTGGACCTATGGGTGATACAAATCCTACAGTCAACACTGGTCAAGCAGGGAACTCTGCAGCTGGAAACTTTCCACCTGCTTATTCTTCAATTGGGATGCCGTAACAGCAACAAGGTTTGCCTACTGAGCATCCACTGGGGACTTCGTCCTCTGCACCTGCAACACAACAGCAACAAGTAGCAGCATCAATATCAGCGGCCTTTAGTGGAACGAGCATTTATGGCTCCAGCTATGCAAGAGCTGCAGCCGCTCCAAGCTCCAGTTCTTCGTTTGCGTTTACACCCCGCTCAACATCAACAATTTCAATTTCTTCAACAACAGCAGCAAGCGCAAGAACAGTTTCAGCAACAACAACAACAACAACATCAACAGCAACAACAGCAACCGCAACAGCAGTTTCTGTAGCAGCAGCAGACTTCTCTCACTGGTTCTGTCTTTCAAGCACCGAATATTTTAAGCAATACACAGATCAAGACAACTGTACCTTTTAATGGCGCTGACTTCTACGGCTGGAGTTTTGAGTTCGAGCTCCTCACGAAATCCACTGGATTGTGGCCGTTCTTCAGTGGCGATTATTCGTATCCTGTTATGGGAACACAGATGGAACAACAGAGTTTTCTTCATGCTTCACTCAGCGCGTACACCGTCCTTATCCGCAATTTGTCGCTGAAAGAGCAGCTTGGTATACGCTCTCTTCACACCAGTTTGACTCCACCAGAATCTGCGTTGAAGCATTTGAAGGGATTATCCATGGCACAGGATACAATTTCAGTGAGTAAAATTCTCTCACAACTGACAACTGTACAGATGCAGGGCAACGAGAACGTTTCGGATTATGTCAACAGGGCTCGAACACTTCGTGACCAATTGGAAAAGTGTGGCGGATACTTCCCAAAGGACATGTTTGTAACAGTCCTTCTTGCCGGTCTTGGAGCAGAATGGCGGCAGTGTCGATCTCTTCTTCGTCTTCAACCCAATCTTTCGGAAGCAGAAATCTGCTCCATCCTTCAAGCAGAGCAACAAGATATTGACCTGCAAACAGCACGTAACAAGAAAGGAGCAGTCAACATCAGCTTTTATTCAACGCCTACGAAACGCGTCAATAAATACTTCTGCCACTACTGCAAAAAGGATGGACACAGTATAAAATTTTGCAACAAGCTTGAAGCTGATAGAAAAAGAGGTGGACAGCAGCAGTCGCAGCAATTGAAGCAACCCGTGAAGCCGAATCCATCGACAACAACTCCTGCAACATCAGGAAAACAAGTTTTCAGCTGCGTTACAACAGTTCATGCAACAGACTCGGATTTCGACGACGACGATGACGAAAGCTCTATCAAGCAACCTGAGAACATGGTTTTACCTCAAGCATATGCTAACCTTGCTCGGGTTATTGCAGGACCGAACACTTGGTATCTTGACAGTTGTTGTGGACAACATATGTGCTCTGCCGAGACGCTCTTCATTACTCATCAGCATCTGCTTCGACGTCTAGTACCTGTCACAGTCGCAAATGGACAAACAATAATGGCAAAGTCAATTGGCAGCGTCATGTTGGATTCCGTGGATACAGGATTTTCCTTACACGTTACGAATGTCCTTATCATCCAGGGACTTGGCTTTAATCTTCTTTCAACGGCTCAACTCCTGCGACATAAGATAAGGACACAAGGCAACTGTGAGACAATGGACCAAGAACTTTATCATAATAATTCAAACACTTACATCCGGAGAGCCGCCACTTAGTATGGGTCTCCGTTCTTCAATTCGAGTCGCAAGGAACTACTGGATCTTCTGAGAGAGTGTTATCTCTTGGACCTTGGCAACATCTTGAAGAAACTGATTTTCAGAACGTTCACATCGACTTCTGTGCAATTGCAGTTCCAACACGATCTCGAACAGCAGCCGCGGTTATCACGGCTCTTGATTCCTGGCCAACAAACACAGCCGAGGAAGATACATCAGCATGGAGGAATGACTACAAAACTTTACAACAACTTGACAACAAACCTACAACACCTTGGGGACCCAGCAGCAGCAGTGAAGCAGAGGAAGCAGAGCAGCAGAATAGCGGTGAAGCAGAAACAGGGATTCTCATCGGTCAACCTGCAGCAGATTCACAAGACACAGAAATTGAGGGAGGGGAATTATTTCTTCAACCGGAAGAAGTTCTTGCCGTGGAAATAAAAACCACGAAGTTACCTCTTAATCGCTTCGTTCCCGGCCAACTCGACGAATCACCATCGTTTTCTTCTTTCCTCGTTTCTTCCTTTTATACTAACGCCGATTTTTATCTGCGATCAACAGGACATCAAGCAACAGAAGATACTTGGCATCAAAGGTTAGGACATCCTTCACCGGGAATCCTTAACCATACTATCCGAGCTTCAGTTCTTGACAAAAATAGTTTACTCTTACCGGATGGAACTGAGATGAAGCCGTCGTCAAGAACAGCAGTCTGCACTACGTGCACAACTGCAAATCTTCCACACGAACCCTTTCCAAGTCACTTTCCGGGTTCAACTCGCTACAAAATTATGCAGAAGGCTTACATCGACATACTCAACTTACCGGAAGCAGGACCTAAGGGGGAGTTATACATGATCTCCTTTATCGAGGCTACTCAATACGTCGGGATGGTAAACATCCCAGCTCGGCATATGGCTCACTCTATCTTTGTCGCGTGGCTCGCGGTGGCTGAAAGAGAATCGGGGGAAAAGTAACAAGAGTTTCAGAGTGACGGAGCAGGAGAGTACACAAACACAAGCTTCACTGACTACCTTCAAACCCTCGGCATCAAGGGCAAAACGTCTCTACCATATCAGCATCATCAGATGGGGGTAGCAGAAAGGATGAACAGGACATTGCAAGAAAAGTTGCGGGTCTTGTTGACTCAGGCAGCATTGCCACCCCATTTTTGGACTTACGCTTTGGACCATGCAGTTCTTCTGCACAACTTGCTGTCGACAACTTCAGTTCCGGAATTTTCTTCACCACACCTGCCGTGGACAAAAATAGTTGGAAACACAAAACTTTAAGATTTTTCGGGTGCATCGTTCAATATCGACCTCCGACAGCAACACTTGGAATTTTTTCAGAACGGGCTAAGTGGGGGATACATCTTGGCATCGAGAAGCAGTTTTACGCGTGGAAAATTATGGATCTTCGCACGAGTCAAATCGTACCAGCACGTGATTGTCTTTTCTACAAACGACTCACCTTAGCTGTTTTTCGTGCTCACAAGGCTGCAGCTGCCAATCTGAGCAGACTATTCGAAGGATCCCGTGCCTTCGCTTCCGACGACGCCGAAGCAAATGTACAGGATGAATCCGTGGCTGAGTCCTCCGAAGCTGCCACAGACATCCCCGTGCCAACCACGTCAGCCGGAACTGCGGAATTTATCCCACTCAACGAAGCCGACTCCGAGGAAGTTCGCAATGTGGTTCTTGATTACGAACGCCATCGTCAACAGCAGCCCATGCCAGTTGTCTCCGAAGCAGCAATCCGAGTAACACCTGAAGAAGGTTGGGGGGGAACAGGGACCAGAACACAACTTCTCAGGTGTCATCTCAAACCGTCCGCGTTTTACACAAACTGGTATACAAGTGTCACAGGATCGAATGTGTCGAGGAAAGGTTGCACTATCGATCAGTACAAGGCGCTTTTATACTTCCATAGTACATCAGGTAACCAGGTTTATCTTATCCTAGGGGAATAGACCCTTCTAGAAGATAGAATCACCCTGCGTATAGCCACGCGAGGCTATTGGCTTTAAGGGATTACAACAGGATTACGCTAGATAGAGCGCACCAGTACATCCCAAGCCTGGTCGGTGATATAATTATAATAGCAGGATAAACCAAAGGTTAATGGAGAAATGAAGAATAGGAAACCAAATGAGATGGAATAAAAGAGAAAGGAAAAAGGAAGGAAATAAGAAAAGGCCAAGTGGTGTAACGAGGTCGTACTCTCACACTTCCCCCCCTCAAAGCTGGGTGGTAGAAGTAACACCCTGCTTGACAAGGTAGTCATGCAGAGGACGACGGGCGTTACCCATGTCAGACTCAGGTACCCAGCTGTCCTCAGAAGGATCATAACCCTTCCAACGGATGAGAAGCTCCACGGTGCCATTCCGACGACGGCGGTGTGCGAGCACGGACTCGACCTCGTACTCGGGTTCATTCTGGACGAGGACGGGCGGTGGCGGCGGCGGTTGGCCTCCAACGAAGATCGTGTTTGGGTCCTGATAGGGCTTCAGAAGTTGGACGTGGAAGGCCTTGTGAATCTTCCAGGTAGCTGCCAGGCGTAAGCGGAAGGTAACAGGAGTGACCTGTGCTTCAACGAGAAAAGGCCCGCAGAAGCGAGGTCGAAGTTTAGATGGGAGATGGCTGATGTCCAGGTTGCGGGTGTCAAGAAGCACCTGGTCTCCCACCGTGATGGTGTGATCGTTGCGATGGCGATCGGCTTGGCGCTTCTGTTGCTGTTGAATGTCGAGGAGGCGCTTGTGGGTCCGATCCCAAAGCTGATGCATGGTTGTGATGAAATCATGTGCGGGTTGGACTGTAGCTGATGCTGTCGGTTTTTGTGGTGTGAGTGGGTGGCGTCCGTAGCAGAGGAAGAACGGCGTCTGTCCAGTAGCGGCATGTGTAGCATTGTTGTAAGCAAACTCTAGTACGGGCAGGTGCAAGTCCCATTTGGAGATCTCGTCCTTGCAGGCTGCTCGGAGGAGTTGCTCAACAATTTGGTTGAGGCGCTCGGTCTGTCCGTCTGTCTGCGGATGGTAAGCGGATGACATGGCGAGTTTGGTCCCGAGGAGAGACATAAGTTCCTTCCAGAACTTGCTGGTGAACTTAGGGTCTCGGTCGGAGATGAGTGTGGTTGGAATGCCATGCTGTGAGATCATGTATCGAACGAAGAGTTGTGCTGCTTCTTCGGTGCGTGCTGTCGTGTGTGTCGGGATGAAGTGTCCCATTTTGGAGAACTTGTCAATGACGACAAGGATGGCGTCATGACCGCTGGAGGTAGGTGGTAACCCGGTGATGAAGTCCAGGCTAACCACTTGCCATGGTTGTTCTGGGACAGGAAGAGGCTGCAGTAGTCCCGCCTTCTTCTGCTTGCTGCTCTTCATCCGCTGACATGTATCACACGAGGTGACGAATTTCTGGACATCTTCTGCTAAGTGGGGCCAGTAGTAGTGCTTTGCGATACCGGTCAGCGTCTTGTTGCTACCGAAGTGTCCGGCGTAGAGGACGTCGTGGTATTCTTCGAGTAGTAACTGGCGCAAAGGAGGGTAATTGGGTACCCAGACTTTCGTTGATCCTTTCCGGTACGCGATGTCACTGTCCCACTGTAGCAGATGTCGCTTTTCTGCCAAGGGAATTTCGGGTCGGTGGCGTACCCGTGTGTGAAGAGTCCCTTGAGTAGTGGATTCATCCCTTCGACCTGAATAGCGGCAACGTGGGCAGGCCGGCTAAGAGCGTCTGCTTTGTTCTTGTGACCGGGCTTGTACACGATGTCGTAGTGGAAGTGTGTCTCGAGGAAGTCGATCCACCGGACCTGCCGCCTGGAAAGGTTGGGTTGTGTCTTCAAATATTTCAGGCTGCAGTGGTCAGTGTAGACGGTTGTTCTTCGTCCTTCGAGATAGCATCTCCACGCTTTGAAGGCGATGATGATGGCCAGGGCCTCTTTGTCGTGTATCGGGTAGTTTAGTTCTGCCCCGTGCAGTTTCTTACTTAGGTAAGCGATTGGTTGCAGTCCATTCCCTTGATCTTGCATCAAGAATGCTCCCACTGCTTGGTCACTGGCGTCAGCTTCGATGACGTAGTCGCGTTCGGGGTCTGGCAAAATGAGTACCGGTGCGGACGTAAGTGCTTGCTTCAGCTGCTCCACGGCTTCCTGGTGCTTCGGCTCCCATTTGTAGGGCGTGTTCTTCTTCAGCAGATTCGTGAGTGGTGCTGCGATTTTTGCATACTGTGGCACGAACCTGTTGTAGTAATTAGCGAAGCCTAGGAACTGCTGCAACACCTTCCCGTTCTCGGGTGTCTTCCACGTGCGTACGACCTCGATTTTCTTGGGGTCGACGTGAACTCCTTGAGCGCTCACCGTGTGTCCTAGGAACTGGACCTTTTCAAGGGCGAATTCGCTCTTTGACAGTTTGACGTAGAATCGTTCTCGTCGAAGAATTTCGAAGACGCGTCGCGGGTGTTCGACGTGCTGCTTCATGTCGCGCGAGTAGATGAGTATGTCGTCCAGGTACACCACCACGCACTCGTCCAAAAGTGGTCGTAGAATGTGGTTCATTTCGGCTTGGAACGTTGCCGGTGCGTTGGTGAGTCCGAATGGCATTACCAGATACTCGTACGATCCGTACCGAGTTCGGAAAGCAGTTTTGTGGATAGAGTTGTCCGCCATCCGTATCTGCCAGTATCCGGACCGCAGATCCAGTTTGGAAAATACCGTAGCTCCCCGAAGCTGGTCAAGCAGGTCATCGATTCGCGGTATTGGATATTTATTCTTGATGGTCTGCTTGTTAAGAGCTCGGTAGTCGATGCACATGCGCAGTCTTCCGTCCGGTTTCGGTGTGAAGAGTACCGGGGCACCGTACGGCGAAGTGGATGGTCAGATGAGTCCTTTGGCTAGGAGATACTCGATTTGTTTTTTCATGTCGGTCAGCTCCGTAGGGCTGAGCCGATATGGTGCTCGGAAGGTCGGCTTCGAACCCGGTTCCTCCACGATCTCGTCTTGATGCGTTCGGTATGGCGGTAGCTCATTCGGAAGATCGTCCGGAAGAATATCTTGGAACTCCTTCAATAATTCCTTGATCTTTCCTGGAGGTTCCGAGGTTCTCTCCTTGACGTTCTCCGCCTCTGTTGCTATTTCCAGGAACCCTGTGTCGGTTCGCTTTACGTCCTTCTTGAATCGTGCGAGTGTCTCTACTGGGATATCTCCTGTATCGTCCCAGTTGGGTAGTTGTACTCTCCGTCCATTGTTGTAGATGCTTGCGGTGCGGTTCACCCAGTTGATCTCGGGGTTGAATCTTTTTAGGAAGTCTCGCCCGAAGATCAAGTCAAGCCCCTTGATGTTGGTGATGGGGAGTGCAGGTCTCCAGCGCAGTGGTCCAATTTGTAGGTGTAGAACTCCTTCACCGTGTACTAGTAACTTGCTGCCATCCACCATCGTTGCAGAGAATCCTGAAGGCTTGTACTCTTCGCGAAGTCGGTCGATCACTGCCTTGTCGCAGACGGTGTGTGATGCTCCACTGTCCACGAGTGCTTGGAGGCGTCGTCCTTTGCAGATGACCTCGAGCACGAGGGGCAGTCGTTGCTCGGAGTACCCAAAGATAGTTTCATTGATTGGGTCATAGGGTACATCCCAGTATTCCGTACACACCTTTGTGTTGCTATCTACTCCTGAGCTGGCAGCTGGCCGAAGCTGCTTGGAGAACGGCTCTTCTCCAGGGCCCGGAGTTCCCTGACGACTGTGCGCGTCACTGATGCCGAAGAACTGGATGCATCCGTAGGAGGAGTTCGGGGTTTGTGCAGCTTCTTGTAGACCCCCAGCTTCCTCTTGAGCTGCTTCAGCTCCACCGACGTCTTCCCTGGGGAGCGGGTAGTCGTTGTGGGCTGGTGTCGGGAGAGGACGTTGACTCCGTGGAAAGGTCGGCTTCTTTCCACACTCCTTAATTTTTTCCCCAAGTTGTCCGGTACCGGTATGATCTCCACAGCTGTCTGCTTCTTTTGGAGTCCCTCCCGAAATTTCTCCAAGGCTCTAGCTCCTCGAAAATCATAAGTTTTCATTAAAGCATCTTTATAAGATAACTTTAATGAATGCTTATAATTTCTTGGGTCTTCAAGGAGTTTCCCCCGTCTCGGCAGAGTCTTTTTTCGCGGAGTCGTATTTTTCCTCGGCGATTTTCCCTGGCGAAGACTGGTTGTGGGGTGGAGATTTTCCCCCATCATTTCCTCCTTCTCGCGTCGAATCAGCTTCGTCGAAGTTGATTTTTCCGGAATCCCGCGGCCGCTTTCGGATCTTTTTATTTTCGCCAGCTAGATCCGCAATCACTGGCGACTCCCATTTTTTGGCTTCTGATTGGCTGAAGGAATTCCGCCACTGTTGCGTGTCCGATACTCTGCGCGTGCGGCTTTCATTTTGCTGCAGTCGAAGATTCGATGACCCGGCACCCCGCAAAAATCACACGTGTAATTGGTGTTTTTCGGACGTGGCCGCCCCTCGAACCTGTCGACTTCCATCGGGTCGGCGAACGTGGGTTGAGCCGAGCGGTCGCCCTGTCGCGTACTGCCGACGTGAGTCCGTCATGTTCCGGCGTTGACCATGTCGAACCGCTCCGCTGCCGAAACGACGTCACTGTAGCTCGCGTAGTTTGACGCTGCGACTTGTTGTTTGACTTCGGTCTTCAGCCCGACGAGGTACGATTGTACTTTTTCCCCTTCGGTCAGGTCGGGAATGCGGTTATAAAATTCCTCCATTTGCTGCGTGTACTGCGCTACACTCCCGAACTGTCGGTGTCGATGAATTTTTTCCCGGGCAAGGAAACTGGAATTTATCGGCTCGAAGCGTTTCAGCAGGTCAGCGCGGAACTGCTGCCACGTGGCTTCACCGTGGATGAAAGTACTGTTGCCGCCAATCCACTCGAGTGCCGGCCCTCGCATTAGTGTCGCCGCGAGTCGTACACGTTGACCGTCCCAGACTGGCGAGCTCCATCCGACGGCTGCGAAGTAGATCTCCATCCCGGCGATCCATCTGCGGGCGTCGGAGTTTCGATCGCTCGGATCGAACGGCTCAGGTGGGCGCGGTTTCGGAGCCTCGAGAAACTGCTGCGACTGCTGCGTCGTCGCCGTTGTCGTCTCGTGCTGCGCTCCGGCGAGTCGAGTTACTCGCTCGAACTCGTTTCGCCATGCTTTGCGATCCGCTCGCATTTCCTCCTGAAGGGCTGCGATGCGCGCGAAGAGCTGCTGGGTAACCTCGGTGTTGTCGAAGGTTGCCATCCTGTTCAAAACACGCACGGAGGGGGTAATTCAAAAATCGCGGAGCTGGTGCTTACTAGAATCGGCGTCGAATTGGTCGCCCCCGACGGTTTTTCGAGGCAGGATCCCCGCTGCTGCTGCTTAGCTGAGCGCGGTCGAGTGAGAAAAGCTCTGATTACCAAGTGTCACAGGATCGAATGTGTCGAGGAAAGGTTGCACTATCGATCTGTACAAGGCGTTTTTATACTTCCAGAGTACATCAGGTAACCAGGTTTATCTTATCCTAGGGGAATAGACCCTTCTAGAAGATAGAATCACCCTGCGTATAGCCACGCGAGGCTATTGGCTTTAAGGGATTACAACAGGATTACGCTAGATAGAGCGCACCGGTACATCCCAAGCCTGGTCGGTGATATACAGTGGCGGAAACAATTGTCCACATGTTTAGCATATTTTTACATTTTGACGAGCTGTACGCTATGAACATTAAGCCTTAATTCATGGTGGCCATACACATAGAGAGGAGCAGTTAGAGCACTCACTCAAATGTCCTAAAACCAGAGTAGTATATTTCATGGTCCTTCAAGATGAAAACATTTAATAACAACACATCCGGACAATTTGTACTGGGGACAAGCAGAAAACTAGTTACTAGCAAAACTAGTACCTAGTCAACAGACACTTGGCCTTGATCACCACCTACACCCTCCTAGGCATGTTATCTACGAGGTTAGTGCAAACCTTTACAGGGATCTTCTCGCACTCTTCCTGGACCCACGCTTTTGCATAAGGGGGTGAGCACTAGGAAAATTGCGAAGTATTTGAACGTATGCAAGAGTACTGTGCACGATTTCATGTTGAATGTTATCTCTAAGACTAGCCATGCTGAGGTGTGGCCAAAGGTGCCATTAGTCGATTGGTCTCGTCTTATCATGGATGTCTTCATCGCACCGTTGTAGGTAAAAATTACGAGCAGAGTGGCGAAAACTTGCGTATGTGCGACGAAACTTAGGGTAACATAGCACGGTTGACAGTGCATCATTGCACTATTAGAATCATGCTAGGATCCGTAGGTCTCTGAGCGGTGCAGCAGTCGAAGTAGTCGTGACTGGTGGGGAAAATATCCGGGTTGAGATCTGGTGAGGAAAATGGTCACTCCAGCGTAACATACTCGTGTTCTCTAAGCCATTCTAAGCCATGTGTCCCGCCTAGGCTTGGAATGGCTTGGAGAGCATGAGTTTATAGCACTGGAGTGACCCTCTTCCTCACCAGACCTGAACCCGAATATTTTTCCCCACCAGTCACGACTACTTCGATTGCTGCACAGCTCAGAGACCTACGGATCCTAGCGTGATTCTAATAGTGCAATGATGCACTGTCAACCGTGCTATGTTACCCAAAGTTTCGTGGCAGATATGCAAGTTTTCACCACTCTGCTCGTAATTTTTACCTACAACGGTGCGATGAAGACGATCCATGATAAGACGAGACCAATCGACTAATGGCATCTTTGGCCACACCTCAGCATGGCTAGTCTTAGAGATAACATTCAACATGAAATCGTGCACAGTACTCTTGCATACGTTCAAATACTTCGCGATTTTCCAAGTGCTCACCCCTTATGCAAAAGCGTGGGTCCAGGAAGAGTGCGAGAAGATCCCTGTAAAGGTTTGCACTAACCTCGTAGATAACATGCCTAGGAGGGTGTAGGTGGTGATCAAGGCCAAGTGTCGGTTGACTAGGTACTAGTTTTGCTAGTAACTAGTTTGCTGCTTGTCCCCGGTACAAATTGTCCGGATGTGCTGTTATTAAATGTTTTCATCTTGAAGGACCATGAAATATACTCCTTTGGTTTTAGGAGATTTGAGTGAGTGCTCTAACTGCTCCTCTCTACGTGTATGGCCACCATGAATTAAGGCTTAATGTTTATAGCGTACAGCTCGTCAAAATGTAAAAATATGCTAAACATGTGGACAATTGGTTCCGCCACTGTAATTATAATAGCAGGATAAACCAAAGGTTAATGGAGAAATGAAGAATAGGAAACCAAATAAGATGGAATAAAAGAGAAAGGAAAAAGGAAGGAAATAAGAAAAGGCCAAGTGGTGTAACGAGGTCGTACTCTCACAACAAGTCTTGGGACTTGCAGTCGCAGTACAGCCAAACAGCAGTAAAATTTTGGGGAAACTACATCGGCGCTCAGTATTAGGGGCCTCGATAACATGAACGTCAGTGACACGATATAAACAATCAGAATTAGTGAGTTCGCAACATGTTTCATCAGTCTGGTTCCACCGTTAGTCAGAAACTACAGGAAAAAGTTCACGAATGGTCAGTACAAGTAACCCTCGCCCGTTTCGGAACGTTTTCCCGCCGCCGCCAGCCCAATTTCTTCATCATTGTGGCTGGCACGATCTTTTTCTCAAGCTCCATGCGTAGTTCGAAAGAAGTACGTAAAGTATTCCCAATTTAATAATCGTTGGACCGTCGCGTACACAAAATTCCAAAATAGAGACCTTGCGCATTTCTGTAACATAAGCTAATTTGGCAACAGCAGGCCGCACATCGGGTGCGACATTGTTCA